CTCGATTACTAAAATATTCGTTTACAACAGCCCTATATACATCCTTTGTGGACCAGTCCATCAATGTATATTTCTTTTGTTTGTTCTGTTTCAGTTCACAGGTGCTTTTCCTAATCTGCCGAAAGTTAATTGGCCAACAAATGGTGAACAGAACAGAGGTTCTAAAATGGCTGAGAGAGATCCTGATCTGCAGGAACAAGTTTTTGCTCAAGAACAAGGTGCCGTCTGTTTTCTTATCGGTGGCACAATGCTTCTCTGGAGCTGTAACGGCGTACAGGTTGTTATTTATGCATAACAATGTGTTTGTCCTGATTATCCCAGGAGTGTGCCACCATGGGGGGTGGCATTCCCATCTGTCGGCAGGCGCAGACTAAACTTGAGGTCTGTCTCTACCTGTTCCTGTGGAGCCCAGACACGGAGGCCGTGCTGGTGGCCATGTCATGTTTCCGTCATCTGTGTGAAGAGGCAGACATCCGCAGTGCAGCGGATGAGGTGCCCGTCCAGACTATCCTCCCCAACTACGCCACTTTCAGTGAGCTGGCTTCTGTGAGCACCATGATAGGAACAGGTCAGTACTTTTGGTTTGTGTTTCATTAAATTAGCCTCTGCTCTGGTCATTTGATTTTTTACAAACTGGATTTGCTGATTCATGAAAAAAAAACAAAAAACAACAAATTTGTTCTCAGTAATCAGTTGATCTAAATTTACCGATCATATAATTTAGACCAGATTAAATGCAAAATTTCTAGACAGCATAAACATGTTTGTTCGCACCTTATTTATATCCTTATCATTATTGTAAGAATATTGGGTCATATGGACATATTACCAATATGCCAATATCTTGCCAGTTTACTGTGTTATCTATTTGATATTAAAGGTGTTGCTTATCTGTCAGCAGTTCATTGTGTTTGCCTAGGCGTCTCGTGATAACACATTTTGCTGAACGATAAATTGTCCCAGAAGTTATTGCGATAAACGATGATGTTGTTTTGAGATCATTTTCAAGTAATGTGATAGTAATGGCATAACAATAACAATGTAAGAACATATTCTCAAAGATCAATAAACTTTAAATTCTAGTAAACATCATCTAGTAAACTATAAGACTCTTTAAATGCACAAAATAAATAAACAAAACCAAAACATCAAATGAAATGAATTAAAAAATCTCTGGAAACAAAACTTTCCTTCAAAAACAGGCTAGTAGAAACCAAATCAGCAAGCTGAAGACTTTATCATCCAGTTTTTGGTAGAAAGAGAGAAACAATAATTTATGCCAATGGAAATTATTGAGTTAATTTTAAGGCCTATGTTTACCTGCTTCTATAATCTTTTTTTGACCTGGTTAAACAACCAATATAAAATCAGGGAGTAAAGGACTCCAATTTAGCAGCATGATCACTAGGGTGATTGACGGCACTAATAAAATAAAATACATATCACACCAAATTAATGTGATCTATTTCTGGTGTTTTATACCGTGAGCGCAAAACTGCAGCTCTGAAGAACGCTGACCACATGCTGCACCGCTTCACTCTTCCTCGTTGCTGCCCGTTCTGCAGAGATGAGAGCTGCTTCAGCACTGCGGCGGCCATTTTCATCCTGATGTTAACAAATGTATGTGCTCCTGCCGCTGCTCGTGATTAAACTCATGATAATGCTCCTCCATACTGAGCAGCTGATGGACCACTGCTTAACCATATGAAAAATGTTGTTTGGAGTTTTCAGTGGTACAAATCGCGAGCCAATCAATGAATGGGGTCAGCTGTCATTCACATAGCTTCTGCACCGTACTTGACTCGGTGTAGCTAGTACTAAACCCTGAAGTAGGTACGACAATCTGAGCACAGCCAGGCAGAGCCACGCTGGATCTGCTAATGGAAAATGAATCTGGCTGGGTCGGACCGGAACTGTACCTGTTGGAGGCGCTCTAGTGGAAGAGCACTGATTGGAGTCAGGGCACGCTTAGTGGAGAGCCATCAAACAGTTTGGAGGTTCCCACCCTAAAAAGCAACGGTGGCTGAAGAGGAAGGAAACAGTTTGGGCTGGTCATGGAGCCTCCAGTATAACACTCACTTAGGTCTAATTAGCCTGTCATGAGTCAGCCTGGGTGGGGGTGTACTGTAATCAAGCACTGAGTCAAATCACAGGTAGAAAGTTTTGAAATGAGTTAAATTGGGCAAATTTATCCCATCCCATAAACCTGGGATTTAAACTTATATTCACTGTAAATGTCTCATAGCCCTGTGACATTCAGGAGATGAATCAATATTTTTCAGATTTCCACAGTTGTTCCTTCAAGCCTTAGCAACATGTTTCTTTTCTCCCACAGGCCGCTCCACCTTACAGAAAAGAGTGATGGCCTTGTTGAGAAGAATAGAGCACCCTACACCAGGAAACATTGAGGTAGTGCTGTTCCACTCTCACATGTTTCCATTGAATGTTTGCTGTTTAGTAATACAGGTAGCTTTCAGATTGGTTTAAAGTTAGTTGCAGTTTTAAGGTTTTATGAACTGTATTTATCAGGCTTTTAAAACCCTCCATTAATGTTTTGTTTAACAAAGAACAAGGGGCAGCTGAAAGGGGCCCTAAATGTCTCTTTTCAACATTTTACTTCATTGAGGAGCTGATGTGCTTTACTGTATACATATTAAGTCTTAGTTACCTGTTACCTGTCAGTTGTGTTGGATTTGTTAACATTACTCACTTTGTTTTCCGGTGCTGTTTCATGTAGGCTTGGGAGGACACTTATGCTAAATGGGACCAGAGCACAAAACAGATACTCAACTTCCCTAAAAATAAGGCTGATGATGGGCAGGTAAGCAGGTTGCTAGTCGATCTATACCTGATTATTCTGTCAACGCAATTGCACTTTATTACCTAAATACAAACTTTATGAAAATGTATAATTGAAAATGTAAATCTTCACAATTGTCAGCAATACAGATGTTAATGTTTTGTCTCTGAGGAGAGAAGACATGTGATCAGCTCTTCAGCTGAGACAGAATTAAAATCCGATCCATCTTAGAGTAACTGTATATCAAACCTCATTTTTCAAATAAACATAAACGGCACAAATATCTGCCATTACTGATTGGGGGTCATGGCAGGTGGCCAGAGCAGTTACACAAAAAAGAAACAAATGAACTGATATAGGAGTACTTTCCTTGTTAATGAAAAGTAAAGAGTTAGTAACAGGAGAGGGACAATGTTGAATAGTTGGCAGCAGTATCTCAGCCAATGCTCTCCTCCAAGAAGGCAAAACATCCAAACAGTTTGCCAGACCAGAGGCCTCATGCATTACACAATCCACAGTTTTCACACTAAAAATTGGCGCAGCGGCAAATTTTGAACAGTGCAGCACACAAATTTTTTTGATGTATAAAATTGTGTGCACACACGTAGCTGCACATCTTTCCTTCATACGTCCCAATTTATGAGGAATGGAGCACAGCTTCAGGTGCTGCCCTGTCTCCACCCACAAATACATTATGTAAATTAGCATAGAAACCCAGGAAGCTGTCAAATGACCACGGCAATAGATCCTGCTTTTAGTAGAGTAGTTCTAATAATAATAATAATAATAACAATAATAGTACATTTTATTTAAAACCTGTTGGAAAAAATTATTTGTGAATATTTCTTTATTACTCAGACACAAAACTACTGCTAGATCTTCACAGGTTCTTCAGTGCGAATCGCAGGTTGCATGCTGCATGTCGTAAAATCAAATTTTAATTTCTCTGTTCAGAACATTTGGAGCAAAATGTATTCAAAAACCTGCTTAACATCTTCACACTGATGTATTTCTTTTATAATATTTTTTCCTTAACACTTACACAAGTCAGTGAATGCAACTACATGAACATGCTGATGTTGAATCACAAATCCAGCTCTATAAGCCACACTAGTGGAAAAAGCCCGTTTGTCTCGCTGAAAGTGGAGCAAAACGTTTTGTGTTGTGTGGGTAGCTCCTGTCCCCAAACAGCAGGGGGCGAATTCAGCATCATAAACCAGAAATACCCCCATGCTGAGGACCATGGGGCCTGCTGTGGCTGTTCAGAACGCCTGGCTGTATGTAGGACATGCAGTCATCAAATGACCAAAAAATTCCAAAAAAAAATGCAAAAAATAAAACTTTTCGGTTTTCTTTTTTTTTTTTTTTTTTACTGTTCTTGTACCCCAACAGCGTTGAGGCTTGGAACCTCATAAATATTTTGATAGGAAGTTGGCTTCAGACTGAAGCGTCCGACTCAGGAAATGGTTTGGTTGAAGAGTGATTCCATTTAAATATTCACTGCATTTAACAAAGTTAATCTGCTGAACTTTAAAACAAACAAAAAAAAACATACTAAAATAGACCCAAATATGTGTATATGCAAAAATATGCCATCACACGGCCATTGGTTAGAGCAGGGGTGGTCAATCCAGGTCCTGGTGGGCCGGGGTCCTGCAACTCTTAGATGTCTCCCTGGTCCAACACACTTGAATCCAACAGCTGAATCACATCTTCAGTGCAGTCAGGTTCTCCAGTCCTGCTAACGACCTCATTATTTGACTCAGGTGTGTTGAAGTAGAGACACATCTAAAAGTTGCAGGAGACCCTCCAGGCCTGGAGTTGCCCACCCCTGGGTTGGAGCTTTCTTTATCTGAAAGAACCGTAAGCTTTCAATAAATGTTACCAGAGTATCAGAAATGGTAAAATGGAGTTTCTGTCACTGTCCATAAAACATTTGTGAATGTCACTGTGTGAACACTCTGACACGGTTGAGCTCTGTGTTTTCTGTCTCACCTGTCTGTGGTTAGAAACTAAATGGAGTGGAGTCATTACTTCAAAGCAAACTTTATTTAGCACTGAAGTTTTGAATAGATCATCACATAATTTCTCTGTGTCCCCACAGCAGGAGTGGATAAATATGACAGGCTTCCTCTGTGCACTGGGAGGTGTGTGTCTTCAGCAGCGCAACACTCCAGGACTCGCCACTTACAGCCCACCTATGGGCCCACTGAGTGACCGCAAACCCTCCATGATCTCAGTGGGGCCCGGTGACATCACCAACCCGGCTCCCTCTTCCTGCCCTTCATCTACCTCCATCGAGACGCCCGTCAGCCGCTTCCTGGACCGACTGCTGGCTCTGTTGGTGTGTGGCCATGACAGGGTGGGCCTTCATGTCCGCACCAATGTCAAAGACCTACTGGGACTGGAACTGAGTCCTGCACTCTATCCCATGCTCTTCAATAAACTGAAAAACAGCATCGGAAAGTTCTCTGACGCTCAGGGACAGGTATGTCTAGCTACTGCATTATCTATTATTAGGAACTCTACAAAAAAACCGTGAAAAAGGTAGTGAAACATCTGCAAGCACAATAAAACTGGGAAGACGGCAGTCTCTGTTTGTAGTTATTACAAACGGAAACCTTTGTAGTTATTTAAATTGTTCGATTAGATTGTTCTCTGTGGTTTAGGTCCAAAACATTCAAGATTGAATTGGTTCCAACCTGACTCTGAACTCTGTTACCTTGTATGTAATTTGTAAACTGGTTTTTATAATTAGTCTGGATTTAATGTTGAAGGATTCACCAACTAGTGAAAACAGCACAAAGTTGATTTACTTAGTTTTTTGAATGATGTGATGATCAATCCCTCTAAAATTGTTTTCAGGTACCCATTACTGATGCGAACACCCAGTTTGTGGAACAGACTATAGCCATCATGAAAAACCTGTTGGATAACCACACAGAGGGCAGCTCTGAACACCTGGGACAGGCCAGCATTGAAACCATGATGCTCAACTTGGTCAGGTAGGGCCCAAGAACAAAATGATTTTTTTATATCTCTTTCATTTTGAATGAGCTGACATCTGGAGTTAGTGGTATGCAGCAAACAGTTTTTTTTAGAATAACATGATCCTTATTAATTCCAGAAATACCCCAAATGACATAAACCAGCAATTTCCAAATGTAATTAGTTTATCTTCTTTACCTATTGTACCAAAGAGGTTCGGTTCTTTGGCAGAAACTTTATTCCACTGATGGAATTCCTCTTGCTTAAAATATGCTAAAGCGGGCCATTAAAGAAAAGGTGGACTAGAGTGATCTAAGAGTTGTTATTACTAGACGTGTACAGACAGATTTCAAGCTTTGGTACATTTTTAGCTTAACTGGATCTCTAGTAGCAGAGTCTTTCTCCTGTGGAAATCCAACTTCTTGGAAGGAGTTGAAGTCATCCACATAGTTTACTGTTAATAAGGGAGAATTGGTCTTTAGGACTGTAAGCCAAGAAGCGTATCAAATGAGTTAGTGGTGCTGTGTCTGTGCAGTGACTGATAGGTCAGTGTCCATGTGCTCTTGAAAGTCTAGATGTACAAAAATGAAGCACTTAGTGCTCTGGAAACAACCCTGCTGCTCATTAGACAGTGTAAGCAATCGTTCTCCTTTGGTTGTCATGCTTGATGAGTTGGGATCCTCGGCCAAGGGGAACACAAGCCTGTGAGCTGAGTTGGGGGAGTGAACATGTGGCTTGGCATAGAGGAAAGTGCCTTTGTATTGTAACGGTTATGTCCCCTCCCCCCATCACCTCGCTCCTACAACTTTGCTGGTGGGGTAAGTGCGATCCATAAACAGATGGAAACCTTGCTTTCTTTGGTACACTGAGTGAAGAAGATCAACATATTATTTTTGCAAATAATTTGGTCGTGTTCTTTGAGTTCTTTTCTGTACTGATATTCATTGGCTTTCTGCCATCGCTCAAACTTAAAAAGAGCCAAATGTTCCTAAGTTAAGTTCTGAGTGTGATTTGGAGCGTGATGAAAATCAGTACTTATGGTATTAGCATTTCTGGGTCAAATAATATGCTGTAATTTAGAAATAATGGTTTCATTAAGCAGCAATGTTTTTATGTCGTCTGGTTTTAAAACCAACACTTTTTCACTAACATACACAGGACAGTGTTGATTTGTATCATCCATGTCTCTCAGGGTGTTCCAGCTGGTACACATTTTAAAAAATATGGAAAGGAAAAAGTGAGGAAATATTGAGAAGAAACCCTGATTTTAGGTTTTCTGACCTGTTTTACATCTTTCAGGTATGTGCGTGGCCTGACCAATGTGGTGCATGCAATTCAGGTCAAAACCAAGCTCTGCCAGCTGGTTGAGGTGATGATGGAGAGACGGGATGACCTGTCCTTCTGCCAGGAGATGAAGTTCAGGTCAGTGTTTTAAGCTGTCTAGACTTGAGATTTCTGCAGAAATAAACTCATTATTATTTTTATCAGTGTTGAACGACTTTTCTCGCCTCTCCCTCTGTAAAGGAACAAGATGGTGGAGTACTTGACAGACTGGGTGATGGGAACCTCTAACCAGGCTGCTGATGATGACATCAAGTGTCTGACCAGGTGCAGCTCCTTGGACTCTTTTATGCTTTTATATTTTTAGTTTTTACTTAAGGCACTTTGTGGTTTCTGACCTGAGAAAGGTGCTTTTTAAAGTTTGTTTACTTACAAAATAAACCCAGACACTGAGCATACCTCCCTCTCAACATTTTCCTTGCATGTAATCTGCAGAGACTTGGACCAGGCCAGTATGGAGGCAGTTGTCTCCCTTTTGGCAGGTTTGCCCCTACAGCCAGAGGAGGGTGATGGTGTCGAACTGATGGAGGCAAAGTCTCAGCTCTTCCTCAAGTAAGGCAGAATCCAGAAAGAACACTACTAGTGACATATAGTTATGGGAAGATGTCTTAATAATTTTAGGCTTTTATGAGTACTGAACAAGTTTTCCAAATAAAATATGAAAAAAAAAAAAAATCTGAAACACTTAAAGGTGCAGTACATAACTTCTACATAAATGTGTTTTTCACATATTTCAAGTGACATACGTGTGTATTGTATGTCTACAATACACACGTAATGTATCACCCCCCCCCATTACGTCGTCTGGTGAAATAAAATCTAACTTATGGTGAAGAAAATCTAAAATGTGATGGCAGTGTGTTCATTCAGGGGTGAATTGTCAGACCCTGTGCTTTGTGGCTGTGTGCAGGTATTTCACCCTGTTCATGAACCTGTTGAACGACTGCAGCGAGGTTGAAGATGAGGGTCAGACAGTGGGGGGGCGGAAACGAGGAATGTCCCGGCGCCTGGCCTCCCTTCGCCATTGTACCATCTTGGCCATGTCCAACCTGCTCAATGCTAATGTGGACAGTGGCCTCATGCATTCCATTGGTCAGTATTCTGCTATGGATTCTGCCAGAATGTTGAGACTTTATTTGACTTTTTTTTACATTTCTGTTAAGATCTGCAAAGTAGAAACAGTGATCTTTTTTTTAGGCTTAGGCTACCACAAGGATCTGCAGACTCGAGCCACTTTCATGGAGGTGCTGACCAAGATTTTGCAACAGGGAACAGAATTTGACACGTTGGCAGAGACAGTCCTAGCTGACCGCTTTGAGAGGCTGGTGGAGCTCGTTACCATGATGGGAGACCAAGGAGAGCTGCCCATTGCTATGGCATTGGCTAATGTTGTTCCTGGCTCTCAGTGGGTATGTAGTCCAGCTTTTTTGTATGATCGATTAAAATGTTTTGCATAGACACACGTATTCTGCAGACTGTATCAGCTTTTCAAAAGAAGAAACTTGCATTTGGATGCGTTTGTGTTTTTGACTTTTGGCTTGGTGCCAAGGTATTATCACCAATGTGTTGCAAGCAACAGTTGTGTAGTTCTGTAGCGAGGCTGTAGTATGCAAAATTGTTTAACTTCTGAATGTTTCTTGGCGTTTTTATGTACAGTTAAATCTAAATAATTCTCAGCCAAAGCACACTTCAGCTATTATGGTTTAAATGAGTGCATTATTAAGTAGGTCAACCCAGTATTAAGTGTCCACTAAGTCACCTTTTCACAAGAACAATGTGTGCTTATGCTACATTTATTAGCATCATCACATTGCATAAAGTAATGTTTCTGTGCTGCATTGGTGGGATTTTGTGAAATAAATGTAACCAGGTCTAAATGCAGTTATTTATTTATTGTTTTTAAATTCCAGCAAATGTCAGTTGTGATGTTTACTTACTCTTGTGAATTATTTCTGTTGTTTGCTGGATCAGAACTAATAATATCAGTTATTTTGGTTGATTGTTATTGTTTATTAAGAGGATTATTTTCTGGAACGGTCAGCCTCTGCATGCAGTGTGTTTGTGGTCATGACCCGTCTCATCTCTGATTTCCAGGACGAGTTAGCTCGAGTTCTGGTGACCCTTTTTGACTCGCGCCACTTACTCTACCAGCTGTTATGGAACATGTTCTCTAAAGAGGTGGAACTGGCCGACTCCATGCAGACGCTCTTCAGAGGGAACAGCCTCGCCAGCAAAATAATGACCTTCTGTTTCAAGGTGAAAACAACACAGTTAGAACAAAGTAGAGGATTTAAAAATGCTTTAGTCACAAGAATCAGGATTAGCACCGCATGCTCAAATTTCACTCTTACATGACTCAAATTTGAGAAAGAGTCGCTGTTCATATTCCAAGGCAAGCTTTGGTGTTTCTGACTCAAATGGACAACACACTGTTATCACCGATATGTGTTAAAAGATCAGAACATTGTCATTCCACGGTTAATAGAACTAAGTTGAGAGTTCATTTATTATTGACTAATTGCTTTACTCTGGGTTTATGGAGAGACTTTAGATGGGTGCTTCATCCGAGGACATAGACAAATATTGAGTTTATTGGCAGACATATACAGTTGAAACCAGAAGTTTACATACACTATGAAAAGACACGCATGCATTTCTTTCACACTGTTTGACATGAAACCAGAATATATTTTTCCTGTTTTAAGTCAGTTAGAATTACCAACATTTGTTATATTTCTAAATGCCAGAATTTTGAGGGAGAGATTTTTTTTCAAGGCAATTTTTTTGTTTCCTTCCTTAAAGTAAAAAGCTTACATACACTTCATTATTATGACTAGGGTCAAACGTTTCGCATCTCCTTCCAGAAGCTTCTCTCAATAGTTGGCAGGAATTTTGGCCTGGTCCATCTGACAGAACTGGTGTAACTGAGCCATGTTGGCTGTCCACTGGCTGTCCACTGGCTGTCCACTGGTTGTCCACTGGCTGTCCACTGGCTGTCCACTGGCTGTCCACTGGCTGTCCACTGTTTTTTTGTATTCAAAGATGTTAAGTTCACAGCAAATGTAAAAATATTACTGGGTAATTATCGTTATGTGAGGACATTGCCAGTGAAATACTATTTAAACCCACAAATATAGAGTCTTAACATTGTAACTGGTTCAAGATCATTACTCACATTGAACATATTGTTGACCTAATTTAGATCAAACAAGACAAGTTAACTTTTTTGTTGTTATAACAGGTATATGGAGCAGCATACTTGCAGAAGTTATTGGAGCCATTGTTAAGGGGAGTTATTTCAACCCCTGAACACATCAGCTTTGAAGTGGACCCCACTAGGCAAGTCATTTTATTTCTGCACCTCTCACAGTTCACCAGTGTGTCACTAAAACACAGTTCGGGTCAAAACTTTCTTAAAACAAGTCAAGTTAATTTTTCAGAAGGCAGCTGTTGGCCAATTTAATATGATCTTCCATTTATGTTAATATACTATAGACTATGATCTTGCTACCAATAACCAGCTAAGTAGAATCTAAGCTTGGATACCATTACATGTTGTTTAAATTCTACTTTGTGACACATCTTAATGTTGCACATGGACATTCGTTTTGAACAGGATTTTCTAACCAACCCAAAGCATTTACCTTTCACTGCTTCAAAACAATTCACAGAAAGAAAGAAACTACAAAAGCTTCAGTTTCCACCCTGAGGAGTTTCTTTCCTTAATATAGAAATGTTAGTTTGAAGGAGATCATTGCTTTGATCTGTGTGTAAGTTTGGTTGTTGATTTCACCAGACTTATACTCGAGTTATAAAATCACAAGTGGTTGTATTTTTAGAGCAAAACAACAATAAGCTAATGGGATAAAAACAAGAGATTTGTATTAGAGCCACTTCAGTTTAAATTCACTATGTCCCTTTACCAGTATGGCCTCCTTCCATCTAACGATTCTTAGGAAGTTGAATGTCCCGGTTGTTCGCAGCAATACAGCTCCTTGGTACAACTTCGTCACAGCCCGGCATTCAGGTGTACAAGCACAGACCCTCACGCCCCCCGCAGTCCCTCTGCCTGGTGGTGAGTCAGGAGTCGGTGTGAGACCGACTGCAGTGTTTAAGAAGTGGGAGAGGCTAATTGCTGCTTTTGCTGCTCACTCAGGACAGACAGACTGCAGCTAAGCTGCAGAGTGTTGTTGCCACAAAAGTCTCCAACAACAGAAAAAGAGTTGCTCCACCCAGTTTGCTGGAAGTTTTACAAATTTGCCGGGAGCAGGGTTTGCTTTTACAGAAGGATTAGTTACACTTTAATAAGCAGTCGAACTAGTGACAATTTTCAAACTAAAAGGCACCACGAGTCACACAGGTACTTGTTGGTTGTTGTCTCATCAGATTGGAACATGGTGAAAATCTAGAGGAGAACCAGAGGAACCTGCTTCAGATCACTGAGCGCTTCTTCCAGGCCATAATCGGCTCATCCAGCGACTTCCCCCCTCAACTTCGCAGTGTTTGCCATTGCCTCTACCAGGTATTCCCTTTATTTTTGCCTCTTGTCTTCTCATTGTCCCATTACTGATCATTCAGTCTCATCCTATGTCTGCTTACACACACTTAGGGCTGATCTTCTAAAGGTTTTGCACATATAAAAACAGGTACAAAATTGATGTCTTGCACAAACCTGATCTACAAACAACACGCACACAGGATTGTGTAGCAAATCTGGAGTAATACATTTATCATGTCTGCCTTCATGAATATACAAAACATATTCTGATCATCAGAAGTCGCAAAATATTGGAAGGAGGAATATAGGCAAATATGACTTTCCACCACAATGGGATTTACTAAAACCTTAAACAGTTTGCGAGGTACTATTTTTGTGTCTAAGAGGTAACAATAAATTATTATGGGCTTACCTTGGTTTGCAATGTTTAGGTCAAGCAAGTAATGCCCCTTTTTCCAAAATGTTACAAAGATGAGAGGTAAAGTTGGGCCATGGGGGATTTGCATAGTTAAATGGAGCAGTTTAGTTTCTAGTGCTTACTCTGCTGTATGCTAATTTAAATTAAATGTATTATTATTATAATTATTACTGTTTAGTGGTGTCTCGATACCAGTGTCAAGCACTCGTTCTCCTAAAAGCAAGTCAATACTCCAAATTCAGACAGTTTTTCTGCTGATTTTCCTCCTGAGCTGCTTTTCAGTTCAACTCAAAGGTTAAACCACACTTCATCCCAGGTGGGGGTGATAACACACCAACACGTTATTTCCCATCAATTTTTAAAATGACATGTAATTGCATTTCATTTTCATTCTGTTTAAAATTCAACAAGCTGAACAGATGAGCCACATTATGCCATCATCAAGCTGAATACATTTAATTTTTTTCAGCAGTGACAAAGTTTTGAAACGTAACATTCACCAATTGAAGTGATCAGAAGTCGCCAAGACTCTCTGAACATTCAGCCAGCAGAAGAATTATCCAGCAGCAGCGGTTCAGCTGCTCTAAAGTCTCTTGTCTATAACGCTTCAATGCGCCGCAGTCAGCTCTGAGAGCATTCAGATCAGAGATGATACTCTAACTGAATTCATTTTGTTTGGCTTGATTAGAGGCCTGTTGGCACCGGCCTGTCTCGGCCCTCTTGTACAATGGTCTTGGTTGTTTTTGCAGTGAGCAGAAGGTTTCCTCGAAAGTGGGCGGGGATCATCTTGTTAGGCAAAGTCCTGTTGAAGCAGCAAAGGATAAGAGCAAACTGTACTTCTTGAGGAAGATAAGATGCTGCAGAGAGCATCATCTCTTCTGCCGTTATCTGTTTGGGCAATAGCATCAGAATCAGGGTCCTAAAAAGACTACACCTGAAAGAAGGCTGGTTCTGTTCTGGGGATGACTGTGGATCTTCTGGAGATGATGAGGGGAGGAGAATTAATATTTGTTCATGCAACCCTTGAAACGGCGCAGCTGGACAGGCAGGAGCCGTGTCATGTCGGCTGTGTTGGTCTTTCAATATGAAGTAAAATTTTATGTTTCATGATATTTAAATCAATTTCAAACTGATTACGGCTAGTATAAGTGTGCAAATAAGGGAATATATATATAATATATATCTTGTATTCTTTACATTATGTTGTGCTGCACCGTTTTCCCTTTGGCGCAAAACCCAGGCCTGGTTACCAGGTTACCAGTTCTGAGACCCGATCAAAACCCCTCGAGTCATTAAGCTAAGAAATAAGGAGATTTGGTTAAGGAAAAACCAATCGAAAATGTTCAAAGTCATGCAAATGGACAGATACAGAGTGATAAACTACGGTGGCTGACAGGGGTCAAACACGGTGCAAACAGGGGACACGAGCTGCAAACACATGTAAAAAAACAAAACAAATCCAACAGAAAAGTGATGCAAACAAAAAAAATGTTGTAATAACAGAAAAAGAAGCAAAAACTTTCAGTCAACAAAACAAACGCAAGTAAAATGGCTGCAGGTCAGGAGGAGGAAGAGGATCACTGGGAGGTTCTGGGAAGCTGCACCCAGACCTGGAGCTGTGGCCTCTCCTCCTGAATAAAACAATAAAAAATAAACTGAAAAAAGTTCACTCTGCACGAAAGAAGCCGTGGAAATGTGTATTACACACACACACCCACTCACACACACATAAGCAGAAGTGAAAGTGTTCTATTTGATCTTTAAGGGGTAATGTCTTAAAATATTTTTCTTAGTATGAATTTAGATACTAAAAAATTCCAAGGAAAGGATTATAATTTGTATTTATAATTTGTATGGGAAGAAAACACTGTGGCAAGGTTCAGAAAGTACTAATAACTTCAGAAGTATTGAAATCTCCAGAGATGTATATTACATTTTGATGCATGTATCAAACAGAACGTTACAAACATATTAAAAGCTTCATATCACTTATAGCCGCTACGAACAGACAACAGGCAGCGGAAAACGACAGTGACATGTCGAGATCAGGCCGCGGTCAGAGGGGAAGACACTCCAACCACCTGCTGAGCACATTTCAAAGACGCCTCATTTTGGATCAACTAAATGGAAAGATGAAGCTGTGAGAACTGCTCGCTCCCTCTAGTGGTTAAATTACAATTAAATTTGACATTTAATTGTAATGTTAACAGCACTTCGTTTTTGTGGAGCGAGTTTTCAGTTGTTTTTGCTATTTGCACCGTTTCTCCCTCTTGATCCTTTTTCCTGTGATTGCAGCGTTTTATTTGTGACTGCAGCAGTTTTTGTTTGCGTTTATTTTTTGTTTTTGCGTCGTACACCTGTTTATTGCACGTTTGCACCTGTCGGCCACCGTAACAAACGCCGTTCAGCGCAGGACTCCACTCAGCTCACCTCAGGGGTGACGCCAAGTGAAGCCAAGGTTGTAATGTCGAGTCTGGTTTCATCTTCTCCTCATTCTGCACCTTCTCTAAGGGGTGTTGTCCTGTTTAATCAGTTTTTGTTCGTGTGTGACTGTCGCCAGTCTTATACGTTATGGCTAGGTAAGCATGCAGCAGTGTGCATGTGAGCAGATAGAGAGATAGAGGAAAGACACAGAATGATATATCCATAACAATTGTTTTTTTTTTTTAAAAAAAAAGGTAATTCTGAATTCTGTCACTGATATCCAACCTAGAATTTTTTCCAAAATCCAGACCAAAATAGATATTAATATCAGATTGATGCATATCTATGTTGGGGTTAAGGAAAACATTCTGGTTAGGTCTGAATGCAGTCGATAAGATGAATGGAAGTCAATACAAAGTCGTCGGTTTGTGTAGGAGTACAAGGGTGTGTGTGTGTGTGTGTGTGTGTGTGGCCTTATGGTTGATACATTGCAATGACCATTTTTCTAACACATACAACATTGTGGGGACCGGCTGCTCCATATGGAGCCCAGTCTCTAAAGCATGTTAATCTATTGCCCACATTAGTGTATTTTTATTATATAAAAGTATATGTATGTTATTTTACTTTTATTTTCCTCTGGGGTTGCCTGACAAACAGAAGACATGTCATAACTTAAATCTAGCAGTAGATTAGTTGTAATTACAAACAGTGTGGAATGTAAACATGTACACTATAACTGTAATGCTGTATTGATTCTAGAATGGCCATTTTCTTTGAAGAATGTTACTTTTGAATAGGCATGCTGTACGACCAGCTTTTTCTGCTCCTTCAACCTTCACAGTTTCATGTCGGGGAAGGGAAAACATGATGAAACATACGTTTTACACTACAAACAAGTCTCTTTTTTATCATTAGCATATCTTTCTAACTTCCAGGACTTTTGTGACTGCTTCCATTAAAATATGTCAAAGCTTTTTTTACTCTAAGTTGATGGTCATATATATAAATACCAGTGCTTTCAATAGGCTCTACAACTGACTGACAAGCATTTTGTGCATATTTAACACTGCTTTAGGTCCTTTAATGAAGGAGCGTAGCTTTTGTTATAGATTGTTGAGATTGTTGTTTGTATCTGGTGCTGTGACCATGATTGTGCTCATCTCTGTTCTGTAGGCTACTTGCCACTCTCTACTGAATAAGGCAACACTAAAAGAAAAAAAGGAAAACAAAAAAGCAGTAAGTTTGGTGAATCTACTTTCCTCTACACACTTTCCCCCTAAAGCAACAAAAATAAAGCATTTTAGCATTTTACTGTTTTTTTCTTCATTCTTAAAATACTGTTTTCAATTTTCTTTTTGTAATTTGTTCTCTCTTTTTTTTCCATATTTAACTTTATGTGCAATGCTGTTCTAAGAATCTTTATTTAACATTCTATTCACTTTCTATTAACAGTTCTTGGGAAATTGCATTCACTGTTACCTGTCTGGTGTCTCTGTTGCTCCAGGAGACATTGTAATGCATTTTGTCTGCATTGCTTTCATGCTGCTTCATCTGATGACTGAACTATGTATCCATCTTACCCTCACTCACAAAGCTGCATGCCTTAACATGCCGTAACGTACTGAACTTTTCCTAAAGACATCATTTCTAATCAGCTGAGAAATTTAAAAAACTGCCTTGCTGTTTTTTGTGATTCTTTAATATGGTTCGGCGCTCCAGTCTGCAAAGATTTAGTCGCATGAAGCCATTTATGAAGACGATGATGATTTTCATTTATATACCACCACCTTTTTAAGAACAAAATGACTTTGTTAGTTGCTTTATTATTTTTTTTTATCAAACTGAGACATGGTTATTGTGAACAATATCCACTAAGAGTGTTAGAAAACATGAGTCTGGTCTGTGTTTTTTTGTTGTTGTAATGTGGAACCGGAACAATGCACATCCAAAGAGAATTCACAGATTCCCTTTTCCCACATTTTATATTATGGTCTTTTTCCATAATATAGGCAGCACTATATGATAGTAATCTCTTTCCTCTAATTACATACAAATACAAATAACCCATGATGACAATGTGGAATTTTTTGAGAGTTTTAAAAATTCACTTAAAATAGAAAATCAAGAAAACATATTGACTCAAGTATTCACCAGTGGTGGCTGGTTGATAGGGAGTGCTGCCCTCCCTGAGGTGGAAGTGGGAAAAACAAAATCTAAAAATGGTCTAAAAACAAATTGTATTAGCCAGTTTGTCTTAATAGTATGTCCCTAAATGCAATATAAATTATTTCCACCAACTAGCTCTCATGTATTCCCACAGGTTCCTGTCAGTTGTCTTTTTGGTTGTCACTGTTGATATTACCTTAGGAATGCAGCTAAGTGGCCAATCGTGTGGTTGCTAGGGAAAAAATAATAAACATTTAGCCCAGTGGTTCTTAACCTTTTTTGAGGTACCGAACCCACCAGTTTCATATGCGCATTCACTGAACCCTTCTGTAGTGATTAATAAAATGATTTTTTTCCCCAAATTCAAGACATAGACAAGATCACTAAGTCTTCTTAAAAGGTAGAGTGTCTGAGAACAGTTCTTTAAAATATAGTCAGTGTTTTCAGCAAAGTTGAGCTGACTGTCCAGGAACGACTCAAGGTTTTTAAAATCTGCCACAGTTTCAACAGGTTGGCCATCAAGAGAAACTGGAACCACTTTAAGGTCTTATTTAGATCATTTAATTAGCTCTACATTCTTAAGAGAATGAAAAATTAATAATAAATAAATAATGAAGACTTTATTCTGATTTAGTAATGTAATTATATTAGTTGTGTTACCACCCCCACGCCACTAGAGGGAGTAGCAACCCTGAAAAGATGCGACTAAGGAGCAGATTTAGAAGTACACCGAAAGCTGCAGAATTTAGTAAAAATGGTGAGTTTTGCTGAAGTAATTAAAGACACAAGTTCAAATCCATGCTGAGAGTGGAGCTCCTTCAATCAGGGCTCCTCCACAGCTCTGATTGGCTCAGCAATGTAACGTGATCCTCTGCAGCAACCGATGGCAAAGCGGGGCGTCATCACGACTTTACATTAGTGTGTCTTTACCTCCGTGGCAGAGGCTCCGCCGAACCCCTGGGGTTCGACCGAGCTCAGGTTAAGACCCACTGATTTAGCCACTCCGCTTAGCTGAATGTAATGTCTTTGGGCGACTCGGACTCTTGTCCCCTGTATAAAGTTGATAGTGGTGATGATGGCAGTCGATGGAAAGCTTAGACCAAATTCTCCACATTGCATGACCGCGCGGAGGATTTCTAGACAGCTGGTAAGCTACAGCTTCTGTTCCTATGTGTTTTATAGTTTTTAGCTAACATATCAGTCTGCTTTTTTTTTTTTTTTACTTTTTCTGTTCATCAGCTGCTGTCATTTATTCATTGCTGATTATCAGTTATGGACATTGCTGTGATTTTTTTGATGCTTATGCTGCTCTGGTTAGTATAATGCTAATGCTGCTCTAGATAAATGTTGCTAATTTTTCTTTTTTTTTTTCTTGTTAATGGCAATGATGCCCTTGTTGCCCTCTTTGGGTTTCTGCTGCTGTTATGATGTTAATGTTTGGTTGATGTGATGTTTTCTGTGCTTTTGTTCAAGAAGGAGCTGAAGCCCCGTTTGCTGACTCAGATCTATAAACATTCATATTTGTAAGATTTTGGCAAACACCTGATTGTCAAATAAATCCTGGGGGTTGCTTGGTGTATACCACATTTGGTTACTGAACAAACCTTTTACTTTTAGCTTTTAGCCCTTTTTGGAGGGCGAGCGACTTTCGCTTCAATGTGCAAGTTCCATATGAAATGAATGGAGAGGAAGCTGCACCTCCTGTGTGTCAAACCTAAGATGAATATATTCTAAAGGGCACATTTTCTTATAGAGACTTCATAATACATTTCATTTATTTATAGTTCGTTTATGTATTTTGGATATATAAAATGTATTCCAGTTGCTGCGTTATATTATTTTGAAATTAGCTTATTGATCTTTGAGAGGGTGTACTTGCATTGTTATGCCATTTTTATGCTATTAGTCCCACCCGCTCTAGTTGGACTCCCATCAGGTTGGATGGGGCGTCTCTTCAGAGATGTTCAGTCAGATTCAAGTCTGAAATTTGGCAACTCTGGGACATTCACATTTAGGTATCAGTCCATTTTTACAAATGGAATGAATGTGTTCTTTGTTTTTTAATAAGTGGTTCTGAACTGGACCTGTGAGATCTTGGCCAGGTCCTTTGTGTCGTCGTTCTGCTGAGGCGCAGGTTTTCATATACAATGTCTCTGTACATCGCTGCGTTCATCTCTCCCTCTATCCCGACTAGTCTCCCAGTTTCTGCTGCTGTAAAACATCCAAGTTGTTTGGAATCTATCAGTACCAATATTTGCCTTCCACTGATGTGTAAAGCCTCATCAGCATTTCCTGCCACGTTGGAAATTACACAGAACAATTGAGTAACACTTTACTCTGCAAATACAACAGATTGAAAAAAAGAATAACTCCATATGTTACTTTAACCACGTATTTGCTGTCAGTGTATCACTTCTGTAAGTATCAGTTTTATTTCTTGAGAAAAAAAATCAAAAAGCCTCTGTGTGCATAAATGTTAAAAAGTGGATTGTAAGTAATGACAGACATGTCTTCTGTGTTGAATGCTTCATGAAAATAAAGAAAAAAACTGCTAACACACATAGATGGTACTGCTTGAAGAAACTGATTTAACCACATAGAAAAATATAATATAGGTGATTTTTTTTTTTTTCATCAGTTCTAAATTTCAAAAAAGTGCACATTTACAGACCACATTTCTTTTCAAGGCTGCATTGGCGTTCATTTGTTTGAACTGTTGCAACAAGAATGTCATGGATTCAGATCCTAGTCGAGGGGTTTTCTGCATGGAGCTCACATGTTCTCCCTGTGCATGGATGGGTGGGTTCTGGGCGCTCCTGCTTCCTCCCATAGTCCAAAAACTGTTTTAATTGTCACAAATTTTGCCCGTGTGTGTGTGTGTGTGTGTGTGTGTGTGTGTGTGTGTGTGCACGCGTGCGCTTGTTTGTAATACCTTATGGGACCATTTTCCTGACACATACTACGTTGTGGGGACTCACTGCTCCTTGTGGGGATACGCTGTTTTTGGGTCAGGGGTCAGATTTAGGACTAAGGTGTGAATTGAGTTTTGGTCAGTGTAAGGGTTAAGTATGCAATGGACAGGGTAAGAGTAAGGGCAAGGGAATGGAAGTCAATAGAAAGTCCCCACAAAGACCACGCAAACGCGTGCATGCATGATCAACTGAGGGAGCCAGACACTTTTTTTCTATGTGACTACTGCTACTTTACTACTATATGGTACAACATAGTTCTGTATCCCTGCTAAGACTTAATAGTTCCCTGTAACCCTGTAAATATGAAGCCTTGTCCAATTGCATTGTCCCTCTGAAAGCAAATATCTTTCAGACATCATTTTATTTTATGTGTCTATATAAAGTGGTGTGGGAAAGTGTTTGCCATCTTCCTGATTTCCTAATTTTTGCATGTTTGTCATGCTGCAGAGTTTCAGAACATCAAACCAGTTTAGATATTAGTCTCATAATCACTGAAACGCTTTCCAACATATTTGATGTGTATTTGTGACTTTGATAATGGCACTTAACAAAATGTTTTGTTACTAACTTTTTATATTTGTGTTTATTTGCTATACAAATAAACGTGATTGATTTATTGTGAAGGAAACTAAAATTTTATTTCAAGTGGTATTAAGAAAAAGAAAAGTCTTGAATTGAACTTTTCTTATGCTGTGGGAATAGTTTCTCTCAGAATTTGTGGAAGACAGCAGGATTCATAGTTTCATTTATTACAGTACATCTTCCTGGTCCTGAAGCAGCAGGACAGCCCTAGACCTTCACACCACCACCATATTTTAAAGTTGCTATGTTGTTCGTTTTATGCAACGCAGAGTTGCTTTTATGGCAGATGTAACAGACACAGACCTTCCAAAGAGTTCCTCTTTTTGTCTCATCACTCCACAGAATGTTTTTCTAGAGGTTTTGGGGATCATCAAACTATGTTTTGGAAAATTTGAAATGATCCTTGATCTTCTTTTTGGCCAGCAGTGGTTTTTATAAATCAAATCAAATCAAGTCAGATTTTTTTTGCATAGCACATTTCAGCAGCAAGGCATTTCAAAGTGCTTTATATAATTAAAATAAAAACAGCATGTGACATTGATTAAACAGGGACATCAGGGAACCATGCATTCCGTTTTTGCCCAGCCTCTTTCTTATGACAGAAACATGACCTTTGACTTTAACTGAGCCAAGTGAGGCCTGCAGTTGTTTGGATGTTGTTGAGAAGTTTTTTGTGACCTCTCTGATAAATTATGCTTATCAGAGAGGTTGTGTAATTTGGTCGGCTGACCTCCTGGGAAGCTACCATGTTTTCTCCATGTGTGGATAACATCTCTCTGGAGTCCCAAATCTTTAGAAATAGTGTAGTAACCCTTTTCAGACTGTAGATCTTAATTGCTTTCTTTCTTATTTGTTCTGGAATTTCTTTGGATCTCTGCATGATGTCTAGTTTTTGTCACTGCAGAGGAAAAAGTTGATAAGTTGCATAAGTACGTATAATGTTAATAAAGCAACTGAGATTGCATATCATCACTGGGAACAATTAATTTATGACTATGTGGCTCTGAGATCCTCCCAGGCTAGTAAACATTATATAATCTGTAGTGAGTCAGTGACATGTTGTCCTGTATGAGGCAAACACAACAGTACAGACAGTACAGTACCTGCAGACTGCGAGTGAGGATCATATATATATATAAAATGCTTCACTTCCTCCCTTTGTTTTGCTTTACCACTGGAAGCAAACCACTGCTGAGTGTACTATACTTCCAAGCGAACCAAAACCCACATTTTCAGGCATCAGAGTTTGGATCTATTTTCACAACTTGCCAAATAATGCAGACAATCCAGGGTCCAGCGGTTGTACGTTCAAAGCAGCATAAACTGCTCCTCTGTGAAAAGCATATCCAGACTGTCACAGAAACAACAGCCCCGAATGAACTGCGACTGTCTTCCAACCATTTCTCTTTCTAAACTTTTACTAGCCAGGTCAAACCTCACTTTGCTCTGTAATGTCACATATTACATTTACATTTTGTTGTTCTTCAGAATCATTCATTTTTAAAAGTGTGTTGAAAATTTGCCTCAACATTTCTTTCTTTATCTCAAATCTTTTGTTTTTCTTCTTTATTCTACATTCTTTGTTTTCTCTCTGCTTTGTTGTCTTCCTCCCAACCTCCCACCTTTCCGCTCCACACATCCCTGTCCATTCAGGTTGTGAGTCAGCGGTTCCCACAGAACAGCATAGGTGCAGTGGGTAGTGCCATGTTCCTACGTTTCATCAACCCGGCTATTGTGTCCCCCTATGAGGCTGGCATCTTAGATAAAAAGCCGCTGCCCAGAGTGGAACGAGGTCTCAAGCTCATGTCCAAGGTAAGCCAAGAAAGCAAGTTGTCTCCTTGGAGGGGCTGACGAAAAAGAAATGAAACAATACAGTGAGAGTCTAACCACTGCATTCACAAGTGGCTCTTAGGCTCTGTTCACATGGTGTAATCCATGCTCAATTTTTGCATGATCACTCATACGACTAAATACTGTGACTGCAATCAGACTTCTGTGTGAACGGTTTCTGACCTCAAAATGACCCACAGATGCAGAAGAACAACAAACGTGTCATACAATACCACACACTTTAAAGCACTAATAACTGATGCCATCATCTATGGATTAATTTTTAAAGTTTTTTCAGTCAGTCTGTCAGTTTTTTCAGAAGTGACAGTGTTGTCACAAGATCATAATAAGAGGAAAAAGGGTAATAGCAGTGGCCTTTTGTGGTGCACAGGCTGCAACTGGTCTGTTTTTTTATCTGCAGTCAAAACTAGGAGTGGTGGATTTGTGATATGATGCGCTGTATTGACACAAACTCCTTTCAGTATTTTATAATTTTAGCTTTCAGCCGTGGTTGTCATCCAGATTTACTGCTTCTGATTTATTCTTATGCACAATTATGATGCGTGTCTCACATCTAATAAAAGTACCAACTTTGATTTTACCTTGACTGTATCTGAATAAAACCTGATTTCAGGTCGATTTTCTATTAATGTCAGGATGATAAACATAACAGTGAATGGGAGTTCATCCGAGGTAAAAAGTATGTGCCCAAATCAGACAGGAGGCTGAAGTTCAGCCTGTTAAACCCAGGCTAAATGGATTTGAAAGTTTTCCCAATATAAGGCTATATTTAAGGGAGTTGGCCATATGATTGAACATCTTGAACATAGTCTTTTGAATGCACATGGGAATTGGATAAAGGCAACCCATGTGGTGATGCATTTATGTGTAATCAGTACAAGTAGATAGAATGATGTAAGTCCTTGCATGTGTATTTGTGTTTTTCTTTTAGATTCTGCAGAGTATTGCAAACCATGTCCTGTTTACAAAAGAAGAACATATGAGGCCTTTTAATGACTTTGTTAAAAGCAACTTTGATTCAGCAAGAAGGTAAGAGGTTCTACCTTTCTTTTAAACAGAACAAACCAGGAAGACATTTTTGGAAGATCTTTTTTTTATATATACAGAATTTCTATTACACCTAACAGAACCCAAACAGTGATTACTTAGCAAGCATTGTCCATTAGACTTTGTTTATACCCTCAGCTGTCACCCCCAAAATGCTTACATGCAAGTTAATAGGTCCTTGAGGACACCTGTGCCTCTATGACAATTAAGGGGTTAAACTAAAAACACAAAAAGTAATGTTTCTAGGGTTAGGGTTGTAGGACACACAGAAACCTGTTGAAGCTCACCCAAAGTCACAGAAATTCTGATGTGGGAATAAAAGTTTCTCCACACTTTAGAAAGATTTACTCAGTATTTTTCATCACTCCCCATCTTTGTTTTCCCATTCTTCAGTCTAGTCCAGAGGTTCCCAAACTGTGGGGCGCGCCCCCTAGGGGGGGGCGCCGTGTCATTGCAGGGGGGGCGCGGGAAGCCGTCTTGATGAAAAAAAACAAAAAAAAACATGAACACTGTATGCGCTGGGTTTTTACCTTAGAATGGCCAACTCTCTGTTATTCCTGTCAGTTTGATACAGTAGAGGCTTCCACACTTCCCATATTTGTGTCCTCTGTCACTTTCATCAGCAGTTAAAACTGTTTAATCCGTTGTTAACATGTTGTAACCTGTTTTTCCGAGCCGCCTTTAAACGCAACATGAGCGCTACGACGCTCGCGCTGCGTTTCCACCTGTGAAGGAGACCTGCTGCTGCTGGGCGGAGCTACGTAGGTTTGTGTTAGAATCACGGCAGCAAACCAGCAAAACACAAAGAACTTTTCACTTTTCACAGTTTTTCCCTCCAAACTAACCGACTGAGTTGAGTAAAGCTGTTGGATGCAGGTAATTTAGCTAAAGATGACTAGCTAATATCAATACAGAACCTTAAGCTTAACAAGTACCTTGCAGGATACTGATGTTGGTGTCTATTTTCAGCTACGTACATTCATTTTGCCCCCCAAAAATCAATCAATTTTAATATTATAAATTAATCAATTTTCATATTATGACTTGATGCTGAAATGAGCATCAACATACCAAAACCCGAGTTAAATAATTAAAATGCCTGATTAGCTGAAATGTCTGCTGCAGGTTTTTCTTGGACATTGCCTCTGACTCTCCACCCAGTGACTCAGTCAACCACAGTTTGTCATTCATCAGTGATGGTAATGTGTTGGCCCTCCACCGCTTGCTGTGGAACAACCAGGAGAGGATTGGGCAGTACCTCTCTAGTAACAGGTCAGGGTCAGCCCTTTATTGTTTGTAATCTCAAATGAGAAATATATTCTAATAAGATGCTTACCTGAGACATAATTTTTTTAATAATTCCAGAGACCACAAGGCAGTTGGCAGGCGACCTTTTGACAAGATGGCCACCCTCCTTGCCTACCTTGGACCTCCAGAGCACAAGCCTGTGGCTGACACTCACTGGTCTAGTCTCAACCTGACCAGTTCCAAATTTGAGGAGTTCATGACCAGGTACAGTAATTAACTTACAGTGTTTACTGTGTCTTTATTTATTTTTATTTGTTCATGAAGTATTGTACTTCACAGACACTGAAACTTTCATGAAGAGAAAAGTCAAAACTACAGGGAAGACATGAATAAATAGCTCTATTCAATATTGTCACTCGAATGCCGTAAAAATGAATAGGGTCCAAGTTTTATTGACTAACCTTGGTTTAGCATGTGACGTGTCCTATAGTTTTGGGCCAGCATCTCAGATATCAATTTTAACATTTGTGGCAGTTCTGATTAAAACTTTATTAACAACACATTTTTGATCAAATTTTAAGGGAGACAAGAAATGTTTTAATATTTCTGTTCTAGTAATTTATATTATTTGAGTATATGTCCTATTTTCAAGGAATATGTTTAAAACATGCCTGTGGTCTGATTTCTCATATCTGTGTGTTTAGCCAGGTCTAATGAAAGTAAACGGAAAAGAAAAAGTCAATTATGCTAATCTGCCTAATATTGGATGAAACTTCAAATACATTATCTGTATGTATTTACCTTTAAAATACCTTTAACCTGAACATTTTAAGATACACCAACAGTGCTTGGATCATCTACACTGGTAGAAGCAAAAAAGACAAAACAACTGATTTTAAATTAAAATATTAATAAATCTTAATCACAATATTTTACTGACAACATAAAATAACTGTAGATCTGACACTTTAATCATATCTAAAAACTTTAGCATACTTTTCTTGTAGCATTGCTCACATTAACATAGCTAGCATGTACCTTAATTGTCATGTAGGATAGCTTTAAGCTAATGCTTATCCACCAGTTTGTATCTAAGCACAGAACAAACTGATGGAGGAGTAAATGTGCCTGAAACAATCTAAAATATAGCTAATGCACAGTGTCTTAAGTAACTTTAATTTTATTACTGGATTGAAAACGGTAACACATTAGATTACTCTTTACGAAACAATGGCCAGATTAGAGTGGCGCATTACTGACGCTACTAAAGGCTGACCGGACAGTCTCCCTCAGGACTTCTTGTAGAGAACAGCATTCATGAGCTCCTGATGCACCAAAACGCCACCAGGCCCTGTTCACTGCATCAACTCTAAACCAGTTTTTCAGGAATGTTTCTGCTCTGCCAGTGAAGTGCGCAGCGGTGTGCAGCAAAGACACATGCAGTACGGGCTCTCTAGTGTACAAAAAAAGTAAATTAAAAAAAAAAGTAAGCAATGCTTAGCCTGGGGAAAGTAACTACAATTTGCAAAGAATCCTAACCCCTATATTGTCTATTTCACAGGCACCAGGTTCATGAAAAGGAGGAGTTTAAAGCCTTAAAGACACTTAACATATTCTACCAAGCAGGCACCTCTAAGACTGGCAACCCTGTGTTCTACTATGTGGCTCGCAGGTAAGGTCATTCACTGTTGGTCTTTATACAAGGAAATCGTTTTTCTTTTAAGGCTTGCTACTAAAGTGATGTAGTATTTGTGTGTGACCACTATCAGTAATAATGCAAACACAGGACTTCAGACAACTTTTTAATGCATTTCATAATGAAGTAAACATGTTAACTAGCATACCTTTCTTAGTATCCAAAGCAATCAACATATACACAAATACACTAAACCACCAAACAGTCTCAGTTGAGCATCACCCTGCAGTTTCTGACCCAGAAAAAGCTGGGCTAGCCTAGAACTGCAAGCAGTTATAATGGGTTCCATGCCCAACCCGACAGGTCCCCCTTGGATGCTTGCATGAGTTGACAGTCAGGAATTTTTTGGCACGGTTTTGGTCCCTACAAGTTTTAAATGCAGGACAGTCCTGAAAATGTGCTGTTGCACCTAATGTGATTGTTGAGTTCGATAGGCCATCTTAAAAAACTTCCTTGTGGAGTTTTTCTTCTTCTTCTCTATTATGGCAGATCGCAAGCAACTTTCAGGTGCGTACTGCCATCTACTGCACATGAGTGTGTAGCAACATTACTTTACATCTATTAAATTCTATTTTTTATTTTTGTATCATGAAGATAAATAAACATTGCTTTCCTTAATCTATAAATATCCTCTAAGTATCCTTCAGTTCCCAATATTCCTTTAAAACTCCATTCCTGCCCTGTCCTGTGTTCTATTTTTCTCAGTCTCTCCCTTTCAGGCTCATATATTTTACAGTCCATCAATACATGTTCTACATTTTCTTTCTCTCAACATTCTCCACTTTTATTACTATTTTTCCTCCCAACTGACTTTTGTATATTATATAAACACCTTCCTTTCTTATCTTTATTCCATATTTTTCTGCCACATTTCTATTTCTTTATTCTTAATAATTGATTTCCCTTTCCCAAAAGGAATTGTAATTGTAATTATTTCCCTCTCTAAAGCCTATTTAGCTTATTCATCTGCCTTTTCATTGGCTTTTACTCCTCCTTGTGATGGTACCTAGCAAAACCAAATATCAATGCCACCCCCGTGTAATCTAAATAAACTGTGCTGAATTACTGTTCTATAATTTCCTGTTCCCTTAATAATCTCTCCTATTGCTTTGGAATATGTGCACACCATCACCCTGTCTGGATGAACCTCCTCTAACAACTGCAAGCTTGGAAAAGTATATTTTAAACTTTGGAATAAACATTCCTATTCCCACACATTTTTCTGTGTTCTTATAACCATCTGAATATACTTTAAGGTAATTAGAATATGAGTTTCTTAAATATACATCAGTCCTTCCTCCTATTTCATTTACATTCCAATCATTTTTCATTTTAAGAAGTCTCATGTCTGTATTTACTTCAGTTTTGCTCCATCATGTGGCCAGGTAGGATGACTACACTATTTAGGCAATGTTATTGTCCTTTAGCCTATGGATTTTTTATATGTTCAAAAATTCAAAAGTTCCCTAAAACGTTATAGTTTGCAGTAAAAATGTGAAAATTTTACCACATAATCAAAATAAATGCTTGTCATTTATGCTAATTTTTTTAATCCTGTTCTGTTGAAGTATAAATGCATAGAACAACTTTACACATCAAGAGCACTTGGTGTCAAAGGTTGATTTCCTGTTATTCAAACAAAGAAGCACAGATTCTTAACAAACTTTGCAGAATGACTAAGACTGAAGTGTTCCACACAATTGTGAGCAATTTAGTCATGATTGTCAAAGGATTGTGAAAGATACAGATATTTGTGTTAAAAGACAAACTTGCAAAAAAAGTGATGGATATGAACATATGTTCATACATAAAGTGTAAAATATGTGGAGAATAATTCAAGGAAACCATCCTGAAAATTTTAGCTCATTTGGATTTTATTTTTTCAAAGGAATTTTTTAAGGATTGGAGGTCAGATTAAGCATCGGGCTGAATGTTCTGTTATGGGGTTTTTACCTACTACTTTGTGTGGGAAATGTTTTTATGGTTTTTGGTGTTGATTCCTCCTGATACATTTGAACGTAATCTCTGCTCTAGTGGCTCATTGAGATGTTGTCCGTCAGTTGCCATGGCAATGGGTCTGAGTGTAGTATAAAGCCGACAGAGTGGGGAAAAGCAGAACATAAAGGTTTTGAGTTGTTCTTTACCTGTTTTCGGTGTTATTTTCTCTTTGCTGTGGCACATTGCAGCCACTGTAATTTCTTACAGTTCAATAAATGACAAAAACTGCACTAATTCCCACGTTTATTTGTAGAACACGGCAGTATTTATGACAAGCATCAAATAGGATGAAATATTTCATAAAGTATAGAAGCCATAGTTGGTTAAAAACTATGGCTTTTACAACAGCAATTATGTAAAATTTAATTACCAATATAAAATATTAATTTGCTCTCTTGCATCTTGACAAATTGACAGAAACCAAACTGATTACTGTTAAATAGTAGTACTTATTCAGAATAATTCAGGCACTCTCTCCGCAGTGCAGGATAGTTGTTTACAACGCAGGGAGTTTCCAGTAAGCTCAACAGCATCCAACTGGCGCGTTACATAGTTCATGGCCAACATTGGCGTTTTGGTAACATTTCAGTCTTCAACAGAGTGCACGCCTCCTGGAAGCAATCGTTTCTCTGTAGTAGAGAGCCCAAGTCATCTGTACGTAGCAAACAGCAGAGAACAAAGAGCTGGTTTTTACCATGCTAGGCCCTTTTGCCCTTAAAACTGATGTTAGCAAGTTTTCTAGGGAAACCTTGTACACCTAAGGTTTTTGTAAATACGTTTGTATTTTCATATGTATATTTCTAGATACACTATATGTTTTTTTTTTTTTATTCTTTCTGCTTTTCATTTATTCTGCTCTTATTTTGTATTGTCCACTTTCGGCTGTAACGATGCAAATTTCCCACTTGTGGAACTAATAAAGGATTATCCTATCATGTATTGTAAAAATAGTATTGAGCAATAAAACCTGAGCCCATGTTTTAGTTCAAAAGTCTGCTGAAACCTTTTTCATTGAAAATATTGTTAAAGTTTCTAACTTTATACAGCACTATGAAAGAAAAATAAATGTTTTTTTTTGTTTTTGTTTTGTCTTTTGGCTCATCATTAGCCCCTAATTTTACCAAATATTCATCAAATATTAAACTATACCGATGACTGCAACCAAACTCGACTGAGGAATCCAAGAAGAACTCGTGTCACATTGTAATATCGCTCTACTATAATCCTTGTGGTTCTGCTTCCAGTTTTGTATTAATCCTGTTGAAAATCTTATAGGGCGAATAACGAATGATCTCAATAGAGAAGTTTTATTTCCCACACAAGGAATGACAGGATCATGCATTTGTGTTCCAACTATTCAATTGCAAACATAACTACTAACATTTGTAGGCATCATATGGCACTCCACATGTAAGCATAAAGGTAATGTGGTGTCTAATTTAGTGTGTCAAGCGACTTTAGTTCAGTACATGCTGAACGCTATTGTTGGAACAAAAATATTTAGAAGCACCATTTCAATCTGAGCAAATACTTTTTGACTTTTGCTCCGGGAGTTGGCCATCTTGGGCTTTACAGTGGAAGATAGCAGGTGTTCTGTTGTACTTGTGAGTTTGGAGACACTGTGGAAACCTGTAGAGGAGGTCCACATCCCCAACCCAGTCTTATGCTGTGAAGGAATTGTCTCATAAGCAGAAGTCACCACAACAGTCCTTGCAGTGGACATGCCGTCATATTCTTCTCCTCTATTGTTCATGGTTGACTCTGTGAGTGGAGCAGAATCCAGGAGTCTTTCCTTTGTTGCCAGATGGCTTTGTCCACAGACTGGTGTTGTATAACAGGGACACCCCAACACAGTCGCAGGAGTTTGCTCTGCCCATCTAAGAATTCTTGTTATGCTGTCTTCTTCTTCACAAGCCCAGGGATTATCTCCAAGCGTGATTGTTGTCAGTGCTCTCAGTTTATCAAATATACCTTCAGGCAGTACTGAGAAGTGGTTAGCATGCAGATACAATTTAACCAGCTTTGGAAGCCGATCCAAAGAGCCAGGCAGAATCTGAACCAAATAGTTAAATGACAAATCAATAATTTCCAAGTTGTGAGGCATGTTTGTGGGCACAGTCCAAAATCTGTTATGACTGAGGTTGAGGGATGTAACACTAAGGAGAGTGTTGTTGATGAAAACTATTCTGTCCAGTGCGTTATGCGACAGGTCCAGCAGCTTAAGGTTCCAGTGGTAAGCCGTATCTTTCTTGTCAAGCGAACGTAGACGGTTCCACGCTGCTTTGATGTCCCATAGAGACCGTGGCAAGACAGACGGCAGGCTTTCCAGGTGGTTGTAGGAGAGATCCAGGGTTCGCAGGTGATCATAGCGGCTGAGCTGACCTCCAAGATCTTTCAAGCTGTCAGAAAAGACTAGTTTCATCAACCAGTTTCCTGTATATAAAATTAAACAATCAGCTATATTTTGAAAGCATACGTGTCAAAATTAATTTGTAAGCATTACAGGTGTTCAGCAATAACTGAAACAGATCAATTTATCATCCCTGAATATGTTATTTATACACTGTAGAATGACGATTCTTGTTTTTTATCACCGTTTCCATCTAACAATTCATGCTAGCCTTAATCTTGGTACTTTTAGGGAAGAATACATTTTGAATCATTCTGCGTTTGTTTCTTAACCTCTTGCTCAAGATGCAGAGTAAGTGTCTAACATAAGACGTGTGAGAGGTGAAGTGTAGCATTACAGCTATTTACCTGTTAAATGAGAGGTTGAGAAAACGGATGTTGTGCTGCAGGCCATGTGGCAGCTTGGTTAGGCTTTTGAAAGAGCAGTCCACGTCACGGTGACCCCCACTACAAGAGCACATAGATGGACAGACGGACAAGACCCAGCCTCCCAAAAGCCCACAGAGCAGGACAAGGAACAGGGAGGACGTCAGCATGGTGAGGCCTCTAGAGAAACAAAAGTTAGATATGTATTATCAAGTTTTCAGAAGAATTAGAAGAAATGGTTTAAAACCAGCTATATGTAGAAATGTTTACTTGCATTACAGTTATAGTTGACAAATTTGTAAACAAAGGCTTCATTTGGCGTTTTTATTTTGCGAAAATTTCTACATTTTTGTTTTTTCTGTCAAGGTGGGATGCTGAGTGAACATTCATGAGACATAATATTATTTTTATTTTAGCAAATGGCTGCAATGAAACAGAGTAAAAAATGTTAAAGGGTCTGAATACTTTTTGTACCCACTGTACTCGTATAGATTCAGTACACATTGAATGAAATATTTCAAGCTATTATTTCTTATAGTTGTGATCATTATGAAAACTCAAGATTTAGTCTCCTAGAAAATGTAAATGCTACATCAGATAAATAAAAAAGGGCATTTGAAACGGAAAGGTTAGGGTTCTGAAAAGCTTGTTCAGTTATATGCCCTGTACATTTGGTTTGGGCTCTGTGCATGAATCCCTGCAACAATCCAGCCCGCCATGCAGTGGATCAATCTGTGGTTCTGCTGAGGTCAAAGGACAGGTTGCTCTGATGACAACCTTCATGTCATCTGTATTGTTGGGTCAAATATCTCTTCTCTTCTCCTGAACAACACCCCATATCATCTCTGTGATGTTAAAGGTCAGGGAAGTCTACTGGCCATTCCTGTTGTTCCTGTTCTTGAATCAGCTTTTGGTACCTTTGGTAGTGTGGGCTGGTACCAAGTCCTGCTGGGAAACAAAATCAGCATCTTGTCAGCAGAAGGAAGTATGAAGTGCTCTAGAAATTCCTGGTAGACGGCTGCATTTACTTTGGATCTTAGAAAACACAGTGGACCAGAACCAACATGGTGCCCCAAATCATCAGTGACTGTGTAAACTTTACACTGGACTTAAAGCTGCAGTAGGAAATAAACCCTCTCTGCATGGTTCCTCCCCCTCAATGGACAGGGACACTTACAGTTTTCCTGTAATAATGTTTGGTTGATTCTCTGCCTTTAGTACATCTGTGGCTCTGTGGGAAGAGTAGTCGTCTTGTGATCGGCAGGTTGTAGGTTTGATTCCATCTTCCTCCTGCAAGGCACTTAACCCCAAAAAGCGCTTTGAGTGGTCAAAATGACTGGAAAAGCACTATATAAGTTCAGACCATTTACCAGTCCATCTGCAGCACACTGGTAGTCTTGACCTTTTCACAGCCTCATATTCTACAATCAGGACATAGTGACAGTTTAAACAAATATGTAAAAAATATATTTTTATAAATGTTATCTACTGCTTTAAAGTAGTGTGGATTATGTGTCTCTCCACTCTTTCTGATTTCAAAATGAAATGCAGAACTTACTTTGATCTGAAAAACAGTCCTCTGGACCACTAAGGTTCTTTTTCCCCTTAAAAAGATGATTTATTGCTTATTGTAACATTCTTAACTGTACATCCATCCATTTCATCTTGTAGTTACTGCTGGATTCACATTTAAAACCTGACTACTGTAGAAAGATTTGCCATACAGTCACAGTTAAGTATTTACTTTAAAATGAGCAACACATTTTTTGGCCTGTTATGACTCATATCTTACTTGCATTAAGCCAAAGAAAATGTTGATAGAGACATCCACTCTTCCTCTTGCAAACTCATTTTAAAGCCTCACATGAAGTTTGAAATATTGTATATCTACAGTTAAACTAACTTTTATTTTAATTTTTATTTTTGCCCAGCTGCTTCCTGGTAAAAAGGCTCAATGTATTTTATCTCCACAATAGGCTGTTTGACTTGTACATAAAAATCAGACACCTTGTAGTGCTGACACTGTTTCCTCCTGTTTGTGTGGACATTTACAAGGTAGATGACTGCAAGAATAAATAAAAGTTTGACCAGTTTATTTTGTATTATCATGGAGTTGTATCTGGGACTTTATCACAAACTACAGCTTCAAGGAATCATTGATCTCTGCCCAGACACATTGATGTTCATATTACTAAATTAACTCCAAAAAAAAAAGCAATGTATTTTTCATATTTATTTTTTTTGGCACTCACATTAGAGCAAAAGGCGATTGACTGATTTGCTGGATGATAAATTGTCCCAGAAGTTATGGTGATGAACAATGATATTGTTGTTTTGATGTAATCTTCAAGTAATGTAATGATATTGGTAAAAATATGCAAGAATACTTTCTCAATGATCAATTAACTTTAAATTCTAATGAACATTTAAACACTGGAACTGGAAGACATTTTAAATATCCAAAATAAATAAACAAAATGGAAAACAAAACAAAAAACAAATAAAATGAATGATGAAGTTTCTGTAAACAAAATTATCCTTCAAAAAAAGGGCTATCCTTTTGCATGTCCATTTGCTTTTCTTTTGTATCCTTTTTCTTCACACTTACGAGTATACATCACTTATTTTTGGTTTGGGACATACATTTCCCACAAACTGTCAAGTATTAGATTGAGATTTAAATACATTACCTGCACGAGCTAGTGCATAATTGTAATGGAGAGGAAAAAAATGATTGATGGCTTTCATCATTTTCCTCATGTCAATACTTATGCTGGACAATATGTTTTAGAAAAATGTTTGAATGTGATTTGTTTAGTTTGCATTCTCTCCTGCTTCTTTATGAAACTGAGAGTTATGCCTGAGTGTCTTGGACGAAGTGCATAATATAACTTTTTGCCATCATCTCCTGTCGTCTTACAGCTTTTTAGGAGTATATTTCATCCCCTCCATCTAAGACATAATTATACATATGCAATAAGACCAAAGTTAGACTCAGCCAATTACCACAAGTCAAGCTGCTTGTATGTGGTGGCACTTTAAATTCTGCTTCTGGGAAACAGCTCAGCCACTAAAAATACTGCAGTGCAACAAAAATATTTAGAGCAATAATTTCAGAAACTAACACATTATTAGCTTGATGAAGGCATAGATATATTTTTTATATAGCTGTCCTACTTATATATATATATATATATATATATATATATATATATATATATATATATTTCCTGCTCAAGATCAAGATATTTGCTAAACAAAACAGCTTGCGGTTTTTAACCTGGGTTCAGCAATTTACAACATCAACGATCCTATGCATAAAATGAGTCGTCCATTACTGGTGTCATGCCAGGATCACTCACCTTGTAATTTCAGTGTTAGCACCATTTCTCCCCATCTCTGGTCATTAACTCCTCAAGCTCCACTCGTCTTCCTCTGGGCACCTTAATATGATAAAGCCAAACATTTTTTCTGGGCTGCTGTGAATGTAGTGATGTGTCTCTGTAAATGCTGCGTGTTAGTCCCGGCTTCTGCCCGGCTCACTGTTATGCAGGGAGTTCCAGGTTGCAGTGCAATATGTGGTGGTGAGGGAGAGAAAGAAAGAAAGAGGGAGAAAAAATGCAGCTAAGAGCCAGTCCACTCGGCCTTTGATGAGGCAAGCACAATCTGTGTGCTCGATAGGAGCGACTCTTTTTTTTTTTTCCTCAATGCTGCATTTTCAGTTTTCTTTGTGGTGATTTCTTTTTTTTTTTTTAGTAATTTCACAGACCTGTTGAGCTGGATTTCTGTGATTCTCTTTCTCTGTCAATTAAGAGTTCTTCCTTTTCTGTTGCTATGGTCCTAAACTGATCTTTAGCTCTTTATTTGGACAAGCATAATGATTTAAGAAATGTAGCTAGAGCAGAGAACTCTGGCTGGACTTGTTTGTCTTTTTTGCTTTCCAGAGTTTGAAGTTACATCTCAGGTGGTTTGTCCCACTGTGTTCCCTTGTTTCTTCCAGTCTGTCCTTTCCTGCTGATGGAACCAGCTGACTGAGTGGCTCAGCCTCTGGTTGCCCACCAGCATTATGCTGTGCATAATTTAGAATTGAACAATTAAAGTTGTAATATTTTCTCTGGAATTTTTACAAACCAATGAAATATAAAAAAATATTCATAAGCTTGCATTGATCATGATGGCACGATAGCTTAGCGATATGTCGCTCTTAGATAAACTGACAGCATCTTTTGATGCAGTTTAAAATAACTATTCAGTACATATATGAAGTGTGATGAAATAGAAAATACACGGCAGATATTATGGTATTGTGTATTCTGGTTCAGTGCAGTTCTGACATCTCTGTAATAGTAGACAGTATGTTCACTCAATCTTTATAGCCTCTTAAATTTAATCAACATAAGGGAAATAAACTCTGAGTTGAATATCAGACTAAAGGGTTTAATTACACAGAAAACATGTGCTTGAAACTATAGAAATGACCCCTCAGAAGTATAAGTCCTATTGCATTCAGACTGGCAGACTCATTTCCAGCCACCAGAAGATGTGCTGATATGCAAATCTTAAAGGGATTATTTTTGGCAAGTTAATAACTTTTGTTCTAGTAAAATATATCCGTAAACTCCAGTGTATGAAGTTAAAAAAATTTTTCTCTTTGTTTTTCTGTGAAGCAGATTTAAGATTAATGAATAATTTACTGCTGTTTCAATCAATCAATCAAATCAAATTTTATTTGTATAGCACATTTCAGCAGCAAGGCATTTCAAAGTGCTTTACATAATAATAATAATAAAAAAAAGATTAAAAAAGATAAAAACATTAAAATCCGCACCCCTTTTCAACCAAGTGGGACGACATCCACACCCCTGTCCTTATCTGGGACTCATACCGGATCTGGGAGTTTAGTCAAAAAAGCATTTGACAAGGACTCCAACTTCTAGGTTTTTAGTTGAAACGCCGTCACCTGGGACTCTAAACCTCATAGGACTTTAGTTAAACGTTGTTTAACTGGGACTCTAACCCACGTTTTACTCAAGGGACTCTAACCCGAATAAGGCTATGAGTGGGGGACAGTACCCGCGCCTCTCTGGGGGTGCTGTACATCATTAAAAACTAAACACAGCGTAACAGTGAGAAAACCATTCAGTGCCCAAACCATTTTTGTGTTGAGCATGGTGGTGTTCTTGACCATGATTCCAACAATAACAAGAAAGACAAAAGGTGACGATAACATTTTATTTCCAACATTAAAAACAAATGTCAACTTAGAGAAATAATGACATAAAAATAGGAATACTAACCGAATACTACTGTTGCCATCATTTATTAAATCTTATCCCCAACTAACTCATTCAGTTTCTTTGTTCATTTCAGTCTTGAATAAAGAATCCAAATACTTCCCAAACTATAAATATTTTTCATGCAATTTGATAGCCATGTCATAAATATTCACTCTATACACTTTCAGAAGTCTTATTTACACAAATAATTTATTGGACTCTAGTCTACAGCAACTGCACAATCAACAGACTCCTGTAAGATGGCACTACAACTTCAAAACAACCAAAAACTACTTTCTATTCTTTATAATGCGATATACATGCATAACACCTGCACTCATTTAATATCACTCAACAACATGCCACTGGAAGCCCTTTTTGTACTTAAAATGATGTTGCAATCATGTTTTTGCACTAGTCATTTTTAAAAATGTATTAAAATTTACACAGCATAAAATACTGTTGCAGATTATCCTCATTTTTGTCCATGCTTTGTTTTCTAAAATTTAATTTTGTTTTCTAAAATTTTCTTCTCCCCTGAACCTCTTCTTTAGGAGAAGTTTTTTGTTATTTTCTGGCAACCGTTGTTTTGCTCTGTACATAATTTGACCATTTTTGAATTGGATACAATCCATAAATTTGATCATGTTTCACTTTAAAAAAATAAGTTTGTGTGCTCCAGATAACTCGCCTTATAAATTATTCATCTTTCTCTTTTTCATAGAATTGAATAGATCAAAGCAAGTAGACTAACACATGCCTGAACTAATTTTTAAGTGTGTAAGATAACAGATTTAATGGATGGACGGATATTAATTTCCCCACATTGACAAATAAAACATCCATCTATCCACCATATTGAACCACCATTTCAACATTTCAAAACACAGCTGACTCTAAACAGAGCTTTGACAAAGAAGCATTTGTGTTGCACTTTGTTATGAAACATCTTTGAAGTGGTTAAAGAAGAAATGCCTCATTGAAAAACTCTATATTTAGTTTTCTATGTCCTAAAAGGATATCCTACCTATTAAGTTTATATCTCCTTGCATATGGTCTAGTGACGGTGTTCTGAAGATCTTTTGTTCATAGTGATTCTGTATTACTGTGTGGAGAGCAAATCAAGCATGTGGCATGTCAGCAACATTGTATCTTGCTGTGTGTTCCTCTTACAACACTTCCTTCTGCTTTTCATTAAAGTGCAAGATAGATCTAAACATATGCAGTTGTATTTTGTACTATCTAAGTAAATTCCACAAGAAAAAAGATTCAGATAATTTCTGATAGTTATATTTGTTGATGTTGTAGGTTTAGTTTCTGTGTGCTGATGTGAGCATAATGGTAATAGCTGTTTTAATGTTGATTAAGAAACATGACACAAATTTTCACAGTGCCCCAACATCCAGTCTCAGACAGGAAACTAAGTGCATACAGCTTTCAGATTTGATTCGAGATTTAGAAGAGGCCTTATGACCATGTATGGCCACCTTTCGTTTTTCCGTGAAAGCTGAAAACCCAGAATGACTTTGTCTGAGGATGACTGTTGGTTCACTAAAGAGAACCCTGCGGCAGACATTACAGCTATCTCTTCAGTTTCACTTCCAGTGTTCTCTTCTGGAACAGCAGCTGTGAACTATTTTTCTTGTGCATCATTTCCATCGATAGCTTGACCAAAAGTGCTTCCTTGGTGTTTTTCTTCTAATGTGGTTCTTGAAGTGATATCCGTCATCTCATTTGTTTCTGGAAGTAAAGAGAATGTCTTTGAAAGTCTGTGAGGCAGAAAACTGGTCAGGGAAATTCGGTTGGATGATGCCAATACCGCATTGCCGTTGTTAGCTTCTCCATCCAGTAGTGGCGAAGGACCTGCCCAGCTAGTAGTCGTCTGCTCCTTCTGAAGTCTCTTTTTGCGGATGTAAATGAGCAGAAATCCTACAATCATCAGTGACAGCATTGAACCTATTATTGCTGCCACAACTTTGCCGTGTTGTGAACCATTTTTCTTTGCCTTGTCAACGATTGATGTCTCTGAGATGGAGGGTTGTGTTGTGTCACCACCTGGAACTTGCTTGGTACTTTTAGATTTTCTTTCTTCAGGCTTGATAGACGTGGTTTTCGTATGAATGGCCGTCAATCTGGATGTAGGTATAAATGATGAGGTCACTTCATTTAACTTTATCTGTGAGGTTGATGTTCTCTGTGTGCCGCGGTTTTGTGTAATGTTGCTTAGCACCGGAGGTGCTGTTGAATTGTTGATTCGCTGACTGGTCTGACTACTCAGGGTCATTGTTATGGATTTCCAAACGTTAGACTTAACAGTTGGTGTATTTGATGAACTGGTGAGAGTTGGTGCCGTCTCACTATTTACTGAAAGTATTCTTGGAGGCGTCATCTGAGTTGTATGCAGTGAAGGAGTAGAGGTTCTTGGGTCCTCTGGGGTAGTCCTATCAACACTGGTAGTTGTGTTGACGGATGGAATCTCTGACAGCTGTTGTAAAGTTGATGGCTGTCGTGTTGCCAACTGGGTGTTTTGGGTCACGTTGCCAGTTGTCATGTCTGTGGTGTTGAGTTGCAGCTCAGATTTTACTGTGCTGATTGCTGCCATTGGCAGAAAAATAATGAAGGTAAAGATGATCATTTTGGCCTCAGATCTTCTGTTACACACACCTGATGTTTCACACTAAAACAGACGGAGATCCAGATTCATTGTCAATGACTTCTCATGAAAAAATAACCAACACCAAGAATTGTAACTTGATATGCTTCATACATCTAAAGAAGTTTTTCTTATTGTTGATCCCAGGTTCATATCTTACAGCAGGAGTGTCCAAAGTCGGTCCTGGAGGGCCGGCATCGTGCATGTTTTAGTTCTCTCCCTAGTGGTAGTAACAACTTCCTCAGCAAGTCAGTGTTCTCCTTAGGCCTCTAACGAGCCATCATTTGATGCAGGTGTGCTAAACCTGGGAGAGAACTAAAACATGCAGGATATCGGCCCTCGAGGACCGACTTTGGACACCCCTGTCTTACAGTAATTACCTAGGAGAATGATAAATTGATAAATTACACATTTTTTAAATGCATTCAATTTTTCCATGTACTAATATATATAATACATGGTGCTAACAGGTTTTTCTGAGATCTTGGATCTCAATGAGACAACCTGCATAAATAAAAAATAAAAAAACATTACAAAGCATATGGAAGCAGAAGGGAAACTTATTTAATTAACACATTCTTTAAGCTGCTTCCGTGTTTTAAAAACAGAAACACAGAAGTAGCTCACTCTGCAAGTGAGCTGTACTTATCTTTGTAGCCTTTGTTTTAAAGATTTTAAAATCATTTGGTTGACATTGTAATTTTGCAGGTTTGCAAGTTAAATCTGTTTACATGTTTGCTGGATTTCATATGTCCTGTAATCCAAGGTGAATTATGACAGATTAGGAACTCAAGCACATCATACCCTGTACACAAAGCAACCTTATTTTTCTTAAACTGATGTTATATTTGGCCTCAGTGATGGCTTCCTGCAAATGCAAGTCAACTGTAGGTCATCAATACTCTCTCAAACGTCACTGATCCTCATCTTCTTGATGAAAATTAACCCTATATTCTTCCTGGTGTTTGGCTTGTTGAACCAGAAGTGCAATTTTTCCTACAAGCAACCAAAACAGTTGCACTTAGAACATCATACCACTGGCCTTCTGAGAGGAGCCTGTGCTTGGACAGTTCAGTTGTTTTTCTGTATGCAAGCGATGGGTCCTCTTTGGTTTACAAAGTTTCAACAATAAAGATATGAAAATGTTTTCTTTATTGAGTCTTAAAATGTATGAAAAGTAACTTTACAAAAGCCTTTGAAAGTCAGTTCAAATATTTGAATAAAATCTGATCTTGCTTAGCAGCTAATTAATAATTTGAGTTTTACTGTATTTATAAGATCACATTGCATCTTGAACATCTTTTCTAGAAACAGCCATTGAACATGAACCTAATTTTAAGACAATAAAAATGACTTTAGGTTCAGAAATTTGTACTTACCTATGATTCTACTAGGATAACCCGGGTTTGGTATCAAGATGTATTAAAAGTTCGAAGATTAACCTGTTAGGCTTAACATAATGTTGACTGAAGGAAAGCAGGAACTAAGAGCAGAAAATAACCCCACCTTTTTGAGATGTTGAAACTGACGCTTTCCTCACTGACAGGAAATGAGACATTTTAAACTGACAACCATGTGTGCTCTCCTACTATTTTGCGAAACCCTAGGTAAGAGTAAAGTTGTTGTAAGACAAAACTGAAAAGAATCTAACTTCTCTTTAGTTTCCTGTCAGAATATTCCAGTTACTTTCTGTCAAAACTAATGTAAGAATCCACCATTAAAATAGTTAAAATAACTGATTACAGTAATTAAATAAAGCAATACACTCCTAAAACATCTGCAGCAATTTTTTGCAGATGTTTAAGGACTTCAGCCTTTATAGAAATATAAGATAACATTAATTAGAGGACGTACATCGATATGTCCGTAATATGTCTGTAGAGATACCACCTTTTTTGTCCAGATCTGTTTCATTAGTTGATTTTTTTATGATTCTGCTGAGCCACATTTCAAAAGCAATGTCTGGTTTTCATGGTAGTAAATTTTAATTTGGAACTTGTCACTTTCAAGTTATTTTGAAATAACTGGTCATTGATAGAGGGGTACCAAAAATTTTGTTCGTATGTAGATATTTGGAAGCTCTGGCTGAACAACTATATAACTCTAAAGATCAGCAGTTTTAGGTCATCTGCATTTTAAGAACTGCTTTGACTGCACATGAGATCAGCTGTGTCCCATCTTGATTACATTTCTTTGATTTGTTTTTTTTGTTTTGTTGTTGTTGTTGCACAGCTGCAGCTTAGTAAGAGAGTGCTTATGTTCTGGTAACCAAAGTCCAATCCTACGTGTGGACATGTTAACGGATCCAGAAGGCCAGACAAATATCTGGAGATCCCCAGGCAATATACTGTTTGTTCTGCTTCTTTCAGGGGAGCGGTACAGGATCTTAAGAACACACCACCAGACGTAGAGACAGATTTTTCCCTAGAACTCTGAAATATTTCCTGCCCCAGTGTATACTCAAACAACTTCCACTGAGAGAAACAAATACAATTGTCGGTTGACGACATAAAAACTGTAACTTGTGTTTTTTATACATCCCACCTCAACTTAGTGCTCCTAAGTTCTACGTGTGACTGGCACTTATTATTCTCTGCACCTGTGAAGAGAATAACCAACCGAAATTTCTTTGTGTGAACACATGAGGACCAAAAAACGTTTTTTTGATTCTTGGCTGGACTGCAATACCTGTTTGATTATTTATAGGGGTGCACCTATTTATCGGCACCGATTTCTTTAATTTTGGGAGATCAGTGATCGGCCGATGCTTAAATATGAAAACGACATTATCCAGTGATCTTATCTACCTCAGCAAATGTCTAAAAATCAACTGCTGTCCTCTTCTGCTCTCCGATTAGAGGTTTGACTGACAGACCGGCCCACCAGGTCATGTCTGCACATTTGCAGACATGTCAATAGTCACCCCACTGTTGCCAACTCGGTGACTGAATTGCTATATTTAGCGACATTTCAGAGAAAAAATTTGCTAACAGCCAAAATTGGAATCGACAGGTCAGGGTTTTTAAAGATAGGTAATCGGTAATTGGCCAGGAAACTACAATTGGTGCACCCCTAATTATTTAGGTGTTATGTTTTTCTTTTTTCACATAGTAGATGTAAAGACCACACATTATCCAGAGTCTATGTTTGGTATGAACTCAAAGCAAAAAGATCGCAAAGCTTTTTTAAAAAAATTTATTTATCACAAATCATATCATTATTGAGACATTCACCAATATTATTTCATATTTCAGGTTTTTCTCATTTGGTACTGATCCCCAACCTTTCCATTGATCCATACCGTTACCCTTTTACCCTGGAGACTTAAAAAAAAAAAAAAAAAAAAACGCTGTCTGAAGAGAATGCATGTTGTGTTATTGTCTCCTGAACTCTTGATATTTTGTCATGTTTTAGTCACAAACCTTATTTTATTAGGATTTACTTGATAACCAGACACAAAGTACTGCATAATTGTGAAGTGGCATAAATGCTTGCACAAGGAGCTGCATAAGTTTGTTTGAAAAAGTATGAATAAGAGCAACACTCTAAAGCACTTATTGACTGTCAGATGAGGTTAAAGGCCACTTTATAAACAGACTGTTCTGTTATGAACACAACAAAAATGTGTTTTTTCTCCACAATCTCTCATGAAGTTTTTGATTGAAATTGGACACATTGGGATGTCAAAATAATTCTTCCTAATTTGGCCAGGATGAACTCAGTTCTAACTGAAAGCTTAAACTATTCTTTCAGATTTCTCATATTCTATCAATATGAGGAAGTATCTCACATACTTATTTCAGTGTTTTCTTTTTCCTTTATTTGTCTAAGTAGCTCTGTAGCATCATACAACTCAAACATCAAACTTTGCTTTTTGTATAAACACTGTTTTCATATTTGAACTTGAATCTGTTGGTGAAGAAACAATTTTGACAGCTCAACTTTTTCAAAAACTGTACAATTTGTAATCTTCCATCAGTATTAATTTATTGGTTTCTTTTTAAGTTTAAATGAATCTTAAATTCTAGAGATAATCCCAATTTTTTAATATCTAAGTAGCTTTATGTTTTACAATAACTTTAGTTTCTAAAAAATGAGAATAAAGACAACATAAAAAATTTGGTCTGTTTAGACAGGGGTTGGTTACCATTTCATACAACAAGAGGCATGTCTTCCAAATCCTTGGGGACCTCCAAACAGGAATCCTTAGAACTGGAGCTCTGGATCTGAAAGACTTTTTCTTCAGGTTCAGTAGAAGTTGCTTTCCCTTCATCAAGTCCTGCCCAAGCTTCCTCCTTAGCCTCCTGTATGTCAGTCATACCGTCTGTTCTCACCTCCTCTAGCATAACAGTGGTATCACACGGGCCAACCAGCCCTTCTATCTCCGTTTGATCTGCTTCCCAGTAGTGAGTACCACTTATGTCCGTGTTAGATCGGCGACTTCGGGGGATGTAGACCCGGTGCTGAAGGACACAGATCTGACATGCAAGCACAGATGTTGTAACCAGTAAGCAGAGGATTAACCCTCCTGCTGAACCAATAGCAATGAGACCCATCTCAGTGTCAATTAAGCAGTCGCCACCAGTGGCATTGATTACAACAGCTGGGTTTTCATGGTAAGTTGCTGAGAGGTGGGACTCCGCTGTAAATGTTGGGCTGCCTCTTTGGTCTTGGGATGTGGGTAAATCTATGGTGGTAGTAGAAAGAGCTTGGTCTGCTTCAGCAGGGTGGAGCAGGAACAGGAGAAACAGGCACAGAGTTCTGGTGGTTTTCATCATGTTCTGAAAAAAAGAATGTCATCATGGAGAGCAAAATTACAACCCAGTTTTGGTCATCTTTGCATCATTTTTACATTTTCTTCTTACTGACTATCATTGCTTTAAATTTTTTGCATTGTTTCTAGTTGAATACTTACATAAGGTAGTTTCCAGAAGCCTGTGTGTTGAAACGGAGAGATGAATGAACTGATGCAGACTTGAGAACTGCTGTGAATGGTCCTTTCGACCTTTGCACTTGGTCTTTTTCTCTGCTTGGGTTATTTCAGGGTGTCAGGTCCGAAGCTACAGAAGCTGAAGAGCTGTTCTTAAAGAAGCAAAAGCATCAGTATTTTTAGACACTTAATGTTTCAAAGCATGCTTTGTGTCATTTGTATATTTGTGTATTTGTTCTATCTAAAGAGCACTTATTACAGAAAAACCTGAGTGTGTATTTTACCATATCTATTTTTGTCTTTCCTCAGGTTCAAAACGGGCCAAATTAATGGTGACCTGCTCATCTACCATGTACTCCTCACCCTCAAACCTTACTACGCTAAGCCCTATGAAATAGTTGTAGACTTAACTCATGTTGGACCAAGCAATCGTTTCAAGACTGACTTTCTATCCAAGTGGTTTGTGGTCTTTCCTGGCTTTGCGTATGAGAATGTGGCAGCAGTTTATGTCTACAACTGCAACACTTGGGTGAGGGAGTACACCAAGTATCATGAGAGGCTTCTGACTGGTCTTAAGGGGAGCAAGCGCCTGCAGTTTATTGACTCTCCAGCCAAGTTGGCAGAACACATTGAACAAGACCAACAGAAACTCCCAGCAGCCACTTTGACTTTGGAAGAAGACCTCAAAGTGTTCCACAATGCCCTCAAGCTGGCTCACAAAGACACCAAAGTTTCAATAAAGGTACGGTGGCAATGAAAAGTTTGATTTCCTCTACTATTGTTAATATCAACAAGCAAGAATTAAATCATTCTAAAGGGTGCAGCAAGAACAAGATTTCTGAAACCTATGAATATTTTTTACCCCTCAGGTGGGTTCCACAGCTGTTCAGGTAACCTCAGCTGAGCGGACCCGGGTGCTTGGCCAGCCCGTCTTTCTCAACGATGTTTATTATGCCTCAGAGATTGAGGAAATTTGCCTGGTAGATGAGAGTCAGTTTACTCTTACCATGGCCAACCAGGGGACACCTCTCACATTCATGCACCAAGAGTGTGATGCCATTGTCCAGTCCATAATTCATATCCGTACTCGCTGGGAGCTGTCTCAGCCTGACTCAATTCCCCAGCACACAAAGATCCGTCCAAAAGATGTCCCCGGGACTCTTCTCAACATCGCTCTGCTCAACCTGGGGAGTTCTGATCCAAGTCTCCGGTAGGTAGCTTAAGGGCTTCAAGCCAAAAATCATTTCCTCATAAAACACAGTAGCTTGTAGGGCTGTAACGATTTCTCGAATCATTCAAGTACCTCGATTACTAAAATTCCTCAAGGCAAATTATCTGCCTCATAGTATCTTTAAATTTTATTATTTAGATGACTAAATAATAAAACAGCAGTCACTTTAAGGCTTTTTATTATTTGTTTCGGCCAAGTAATTATTTGTGTTGCGCAACAATCTTACTTCTGCCTGAGTTGTTGTCGAATGCTCAGTGCTAGCAGCATAACATCCAATTTTCAAGTTTGGTCTGGGGGATTTCATTGATTATTGATAATGTTTGGGGTTGTAACGTTTTTCGGGAGGCCTGTAGGCATCCTTAAAATGACTGGCACGATGCATGGAATACAACAGCCGTTCTCCTCCTGGAGCTGCTGCCTATTGGCTGGTCCAGAAAGAACGCAGCGAGTGTATTTATACAGATGGAGCGGATAGACGCAACACTCCGGGCTGCTGTGCTGCAGTTGATGCTTAACGTAGCATTAGCTTTATAGATGAACCGGAAAATAAATCTACAAACGTATGCCGGTCGCAACAAATGGGTGGCAGAGCGCATCGTGGCAATACATAGCTGGTAGATGTGTTTCTGTGTGTGACGGAGGAGCCAAGTCCAGTCGCTCACATGGACACAAAAGCTATAAATGGCTGGACAAAGTGAGAGTTCACCTATTAAATTGTGAAAACATAAACTAACAACTGGAGTATAGACATGTTTTTAGAAGTATCTTTGTGAGTCTGCCTCTTTATTATTACATTAAATATAATTTAATAATAATTTAATAATAATAATAATAAAGATTTTTGTATAATTTTTGTTCAGGTTAACTTAAAAAGTGAGCTATTACTGTTGCAAGTTATTTTCTAAACTACAAAAAAGTAATTGTTAGGGATGCACAAATCTGAAAATTTGGGCCTATGTTGATATCTGATATAAATACTGCCATTATGGCAGTACAGTGATCCCTCGCTATAACGCGGTTCACCTTTCACGGTCTCGCTGCTTCGCTGATTTTTTTTGTGCAGTTTTTTTTTTTTCACAGTGCATTGTGTTCTGCGTCCTGATTGGTTAAACAGTCTCCGAGCTCCTTCTCTACCTGTGTGCCAATAACGTTACGGTATTTAAACATAATTAATACAGATTTGCCATTCAGGAGATGAAAGCTGAAAACTTTGAATGCCTGCTGGAAAAAACTGTGGTCAGAAGCAGCGCAAAACCCGACCGGAGGCTCGCTTGACGAGATCCATCGCTCTGCCGTAGATACAGCTGTGAATCTCGCGGGGCAGGTTGGAGGAGAGGCTTTAATGACATGACTCCGGATCACATTAAGGCCCGATTGATGAACACGCACATCCGCTGACCTGAAAACAGCGTTTGTTCTTTGGTTTCAATGTAGAGTATTTAATTATGCTGTATAATAACTGTAAAAACTAAAGGTACTACTTTGCTGATTTCACTTATCGCGGGTTATTTTCAGAACGCAACCCCTAAGAAAAACGAGGGATCACTGTATATATCAGTATTTCATTTTATCAATGTATTTGTTTATTCGATTAATCATCGGAATAATTGATAGAATACTTGATTACTAAAATAATCGTTTACAACAGCCATATTATCTTGTCATCATTAAACTAATTGAGCTCCAAAAGCATGGCTGATCCATGTATGACTGCATTGTCATACATGCAGAGCTAAACCAGGAGGCACAGATCTGTGTGACAAACACAGTCCATGTTGAATTGAATTAAAATCAGCTGTACTTTGTATAGAAATACTTGACTTGACCAAATATTACTCATTGTCTTTTCCACATCCAGGTCTGCAGCCTACAATCTCCTCTGTGCTTTGACTTGCACATTTAACCTAAAGATAGAGGGACAGCTGTTGGAGACGTCCGGTCTCTGTATCCCAGCGAACAACACACTTTTTATTGTCTCTATCAGCAAGACCCTTGCTGCAAATGAGCCGCATCTGACACTGGAGTTCTTGGAGGAATGCATTTCTGGCTTCAGCAAATCCAGTAAGACATGCTGGAAACACATTTAGCATGGCATTTACCCGAAGTAGGTATTTGACACTTGACACAATGTAAGCAATTTGCTGGTCCAGGAGGAGTGAATGCTGCGAGGTACTGGATTCACACAGACTCTGTTCTACTGAAACTCACAAGGAATTTTGATTATATTGAGATTAAATTAGGATTATTTCTGAAATGAGTGTGTTGGACTGAACACACTCAAAGTAGAGGGTAGAGTAGAAATTTACAAATATCTCTACCATTTATTTTTTAATTAGTTTAAAAACAGGATTATTTAAATGAACCAAGACTGACTGTCGGAATGCAGAAGTAGATCATATGTTTTGGAGTCGAAAAGTGGGTAAGCAAAACCATAAGTTTGCTTCTCGCCTACTTTTAAAACTGGTTGCTTCACTTGCTTCATTCTTTAAGTGCCTGTGTTTGCCATATTGCCAGTAAATATAGCTGTAAATGTTGTGTAAATCAGTGTTTTTCAACCTCTGTGCCGCGGCACACTAGTGTACCGTGAGTGATCGTCATCACCCTGAGGTGTGCCGTGGAAATTATCCAATTTCACCTACCGTATTTTCCGGACTATAAGATCCTACTTTTTTCTTACACTTTGAACATGCGGCTTTTCTGTGGATTTTTCTTCAGCCACCAGGGGGCTCTCTAGCAGGAAGTGAATCATTGGAAGTCAAAATTGGAAATCAAAGAGGAACGTGCTAATTTTCATTTAGAACAACCACATGCTAGCAGCAGGCACGACGGAGAAATGTTTTCAAACTCATATGATGCAGCTTCTAAGTTGAAGAGTATCGATCTGGCACTACAGGAGGGAAATAAAGCCGCTGCACGTAAACTTGGCGTGAACAAAACTGGATTTGCGTCCTTAATATATCCAGCAGTTATTAGGACGCAGCTCTCTGCTGCCATCTGCTGAGTCCTTATGGAAAACCGAGAGCGGTAGAGATACCAGCGGCCTGTAGCCCGGTGCGGCTGATGTATGTAAGTTTCCAGGGTGGGGGGTTCACAAAAACCCTAACCCCTATCCAAAAATAGCAGAGGTATTTCTTACAATGCTTTGGAGCTCAGGCCTGCTTTGTTTGTGGTAAACGGTGGTGTGGTTGTAATGGCATTTTTGTGCTTTAGTGATGCCTAATAGTTTGCAGGGAGACCCCCACTTCATAGAATTAATGCACAAGTGTGTCCTTTATCTTTTTTTTTTTTTTTTAATTAGATGTCAAAGTTTTTGAAACTCCTAACATGCACTAAAACTACATGCAGTAACTATGATTTGGAAGGCAATTGTAGTTACAGTGGATAGCAGGACTTTAAGGAAGGCTCAACAGTGTCAAAAAAAAAATGGGAAAATGCCAAGCAAACTTTTAATATTTAATAGTAAATACTTGTGTTTTCTGTGAACGTTAAGCAGAAGTTCTAAATGTTTTCTTACAGGTATTGAGCTCAAGCATCTCTGCCTGGAGTACATGACACCCTGGCTTCTAAACTTGGTCCGCTTCTGCAAACATAATGATGATGCCAAACGTCAGCGTGTCACAGCCATCCTGGACAAACTTATCACAATGACAATAAATGAAAAACAGATGTATCCCTCCATCCAGGCCAAGATCTGGGGCAGCCTGGGCCAAGTGAGTTTCAGCCCAACAAATGGAGAACCTCTTTTCATTCCATCAAGGTTGTGTCATTTTGGGACTCATTTCTCTTATCTTTAGATAACGGATCTGCTTGATGTGGTGTTAGACAGCTTTATCAAGACTAGTGCCACGGGAGGCCTAGGCTCCATCAAGGCAGAGGTCATGGCTGATACTGCCGTAGCTCTGGCTTCAGGGAATGTTAAACTGGTGTCCAATAAGGTAAGATTCTCCACAAATCAGAAGGGTGTTTGTCATGTGTAGTGCTGCATTTTTCAATAACATAATAAAAATCTGGCCTCCAAAATGTAATAAAAAGTAATTAAAACTACATTAAGCAAATAATTAGAAAATGTTACATAACTTAATAAAATCCTGGAACAAATTTTATAATAGTTTCTGGCGCATCATGTAACCTTATTACATTTTGCACTGACAGAAAATGCAGAAGTTGCTCTTTTAAAAAAAATCTAATAATGTGGCACATTTTGTAATGAACAGTCAGAGATCAGAGTTTGTGTTCATCCTAATCATTATCCTCCTTATAATGATCATTTAATGATCAACTAGTAAGTTTCAAAGATTTAAATCTTTGAACGTTTGGCATTCTAATATTGCTTAGGATAGTCGTAACCAATCATCCTGCTGTGTGTTGTGTGTTAAGACTGATCCGGTCCAGTCAGTGGAACATTGGGACCATTCCAGTCTAAAATCTGGGATATTCAACATGTGGGATTGTCTTGGGCCGAATATGGCAGAGTGTGTGGTGTTCCACAACTGGGAACGAGAAAGCAACCTGTTGACTGTGACAGGTAGCCAATCAGAAAGCATGGTGACTTAAGCACGGAGGGGAATCCCAAACAAAGAACCGCTGACATGGCAAAACCGAGAGTCCGGTGGACAGCGGAGATGGAGAACTGTCAAGTTGACATGTGGAAACAACATTAATGTTTATGGATCAATCAATGACAGTATATAGTCAGTCAATGACATTTCATTGCCAGTTTCAGTATTGTGTCTTTGGGCAATGACAATAAAGCAGGGATGTTCCGTTCAGGTTTTTTCTTTGCTTTCGAGTCCTTTCATTTTGAGTATCGACTGATGCTCACAGCAACTCTCACAGTTTGCTATAACTGCTTTCAGCGCTTTCCCGTTTTTTCACCAAAGTATCCAACAAACCAGAGAAACTAGCTGCATTTGTCGCTCGTTGCTTTTTTTTTTTTTCTATACACTGAAACTCAGAAAGGTTTTGGGATGGATTAAATATTAGGTTTCTCCTGCATGAATATTTTCTGGGGATGTTCTTTTACTTTTGTTTTAATCAGTCAAGCTAAATCTCCCTGGAACAAAACCCAGCAGGCCTTGATCCACCCCAAACCAGGAGGGTTATAAACATTTCCACAGAAATTTTGGAAGAAGTTTCCTTGACCTGCTGTTTGAAGCAGCTGATCAGATGTTCTTCTCTATAGAAGCTGCCCTGATCCCACCCCTCCACCCCCACTGACTTTGACGGTTGAAGTTCAAGTGACATGTAGTGCTTTATTAAATCATGAAATATCTCATTTCTAAAAAAATAAATCGGTGCATTTAATTAAAGGCACATATAATTCATTCTATATTTTATAAATTATATCTGTATTCCCAGTTTTTAATAAATTAATTACACATTTAAATACTTATTTCACAGCTTATCTGTACTCTCCATAGATACTGATGTTGTCCTTGAATCCACCAGTCCAAACACCATAGTTGTGGTGCTGCAGGTCATATTTAAACCGATTTACTCTGAAATTTGAAGCTTACAGGCCAAACCTGTTGTACACTTAATAAAAGATCAGAGTATGAAACAAATGGTTTAGTATATTTATAGTATATTTAGTATAGTACATGTCAGTAGATACATTTTAGATGTACTTATCCACTTTACTGAGCGTAGAAGAAGCAGTCAGCAGACACTGTGTAGTGTTCTCTGCTCCTCATCGTCTGCTTTATCAGAAAGACGCAAGTTTTGTAAAAGAGACATTGTGCACTGGAAGTTGATTGCTTACTTTTGCAAACATTTAGAGGTGGAAGTAGTTTTAGAATCCTGAAGAGCAGAAATTAGCTTCTGTATACCAACATTAGGCCAATACGATAAACTCATGGTGTTCGACTTTATTCTGATGGACTTTCAACTCTCTTCACCACAAAGGATATAGAATCTGAAAAGACTGGAAGGTCATTGGAAGAAGACTGTTGCTGTTTAGAGCAACTTCTCTCAGTGTCTCAAACTATCATGTTACGCTCATGAATCATTGTGAAATGTCCTCCGTAGCAGAAGAGCTTGGTAAATTTCCTTGCTACAATGGGTGGTGATTACTAAAGTATAGATATGTTTTTTTATATATATGTTCCATGCCTTTTCTATAGTTGCTAAAATATACTAAGAATTGTGCCGTCTTTAGAAAGCATACCACCTCATGATTACCTCAGACAGGAAAATTGTATTTGTTTCATTGGTTTGTGATACAATTAGCTCTTCACTTTCAATCCAGTTTAATATTTATTTGCGTTCCTGCTCTGCTGGCTCATTCAAGATTAAACATAAATTTAGTGACAGTAAACCCAGGAGGCATCTTGTTCATAGATATTTAGTGGCTAAGCGAAACAAACTATTTTACCAGGTATTTTATTTGTAGACTTATCTAAAAATTCTTTTTGCTAATGTTTTTTTTTTTTGAGGCCATACTTAATATGTACTGTTTGATTAAAAAATAAAAACACAAAGTTTAACTTAAGGTTATTTTAAGATGTCAAAACTAGTCAAATTTTCATCCTAAGAGACAGGAGACAGAACTCTTCACAAAACACAGTGCATACATACAACGTTGGAAGTTTTGTTGTGAAAAGTCTGCATGAATTATAATCATTACTTACATGGTAGAAGTGCAATTCCAAAGCAGTGAATTCCTAGTGACTTACAGAAAGCAAAAAGAAAAACTCATCCACTCACTATCCATCATCTGTGTGCTTTGTGTCAATTTCAGCCTGCTGCCCAGACAAACAAACACAACATACACAGGCAGACACAATAGAAAATTCTGGGCCTGGCTCCTATTATGGCACACATCAGTACTACTTTGAATAGTGGTCATTGTGAAGACTGTTGCCTAAGAAATGGCAGGCAGTGTTTGGTTTGTGCTGCTGCTCTGCTGCGGGTTTAAAGTAACTTCACCAAACTGCTGCAATGGTTGCTGATTCGATCCCGCCTGGACAGCAATAAATACATTCACAATATGAAGATGGTTTCCTCAGACCAGCTTTTTTGAGGTGGTCTTAGAATGAGTCAGCAATTGTTTGAATTAAGTCATTCTAAGGCTCAGTTAAGACACATGTGACTTCCTGTAGGCAGCAAAATGGATTCTCTTCTGCAAGAGAATCCTGGCCAACGTGAAAACAGATCAGCTGCCTAACCTGTTCAGAAAACACTTCTGGACCACCTAACTTACCATGCCAACTTTATTGGTATAAAGTTGAAATTGCCTTTGCAATAACACATAATCCTTTTTGTTTTAATTCTCTATTTTTGAAACTTTGAGATGATTACAAAAAGCTTGATTGCACGTCGAGGTCACAGTTCCAGTCTGTGATCAATTATAAAATTAACTGGCAGCAATACCTCCACCCACCCCCCTCCAGGAAGGTGTCACCGCTAAACAGAAACCAAGATGTAACTTCAGTGAACAGACTGCTCTGCTGTGGAATGGGCTTCACGGCACACAACGCTTTTTATGAAGCTTAAACAGAATTTTCCTCCAGAAAACTTGCTAAATCTGGTGGCAGAGGCGCCACCAGCAGCCCACTGTGTTTATAAAAAACATTAAAGGTGAGAGGAAATTAAAAATATCACTGGGTAGCAATATTGAAAGGCATTATAGAAAATACTTACACAAATGTGTAATCTTAAAAAAAATGCTTGAATTTTATCACAGACCATATATCAAGGATTTTAACATTTAATTATTGAGAATGATAATACTCTTACATTAGATTTAATACTTTCAGCATTGATACATGAAATATTTTAAAATATTTTAGAGGAAAAAAATCTTGACATGCTTTGGGGCCGCATGTGCACAAAGGATCAGTGGCTTTGTGTCTTTGTACTGGTTGATAGTGATGACTCTTTTTGTCATCACAAAAATACAGTAAAAAGCCAAAAACTGCCTGTTTATGTAAACATGGGATTCTAATGGTATTTTATGGACTCAGTTCAGGTTTTTAATTGATTTGTATTTTCAGATTCAGGAATTTTCTCATTTCTACTACAAGTTCCATCAGCTGGAATAAAGAGTAATGTCAGGTCTGGACATGTAACCTCTGGGCTGCACATGAGGCTTTACTCTAGTGTTATCTAATGGATTACTGTTTGTTGTCATGCCAGGACGCCGTACTGAGCACAGTGGAGCATTGTCTGCTGGCCTTGAACTCTTTGTCACCAAAGATTTGAATCAATTCTTTTTTTCTTCTTCAGATGGAAGAACTGTTGCATTGTCATGTGCATGATTTAGCTCACATCTTTAATGTGTATTCACATTTGTTTTTGTTAGTTCAACATTCTTTTAAAGTATTTTGCAGTCCAGACCCATTCAATAAATTAGAATCTTATTGAAAAGATTCCATTTATTTCAGGAACTTTATCCTGGAAGGTCCTGGAAACGTATAGATTATTACACACAGAGGTGTGTCATAACAAATCATTTACTGATGGCTTTGAAAACATGACATTGAAAATTAGAATATTACATTAGACTGATTTAAAAAAAAATTATATTTTTAAAACCAGAATTTTGACTTAATGAAACATACATTTAATTTATTTTATTTATTTTTATACATGTATGGACTACTATTTTGTTTTTTGAAAAATAATTTTTTTCTAATGCTTGCTTAAAGGTTATTTTCAAAGGGTCCTTCTAATCTGATAACATGGCCTCTTAGTGCATTTGACTGAAATTAACATACATTTACACTGTTGAGAATCAAAATTTGCACAAATATTTGACTAATGTAATTATTAATAATATTTTTTATTGAAATTAATAAAGCTAGTTAAATTGGGGAACCATCCATAAGCCTGAAGTAGAAATAATTTCTTTCTCTGTGAGAAAGAAATTAATTCTGAATAGAAGAAACTCTTCATACAACAAATAACGACCACTGATACACTTTATTTCTTTATTAACTTTATTATTAAAATAGTCCAACATAACAGCTGAATTATCCCACAAATAGCCTCTTTCTCTAAGTACCGACATGCAATATAACAAATGATGGAAAAGGCATGAATGACATCAGACTTGTACAGCAGTTTTCAACCAGTCCTGGCTGCTTATTTTTTAGTTTTTCTTGAGGATAAGCTGATCTGGGCCTTTGTTGGGTATTGTCATTTAAAAAAATCATATGATATTGTGGTGTATTATCAGTGAAAAAAATATATTTTTTATGAAGTTTCTGTTCTTAAGCATTGCTTCTAAGAATTTAATTTAATGGAGTCCTTAACTGGGCTGCACAGTTGGTAGCACTGTTGCCTTGCAGCAAGAAGGTTCTGGTTCTGGTTCTGGGTTCTCTGCTGTTTTATTTTCTCAACTGTCAAAGTCACTGCATGAGGCAGTCTGCTCCTGACACATGATTTTTAAGGTTTAATTATTGGCCTTTTCTTTGGCAGGTCATTGGTCGGATGTGTAAGATCATAGACAAGACGTGCCTGTCACCAACTCCTACGCTGGAGCAGCACCTCATGTGGGATGACATTGCGATCCTGGCCCGCTACATGCTCATGCTGTCCTTTAACAACTCTCTGGACGTTGCAGCCCACCTGCCATACCTGTTCCATGTAGTGACGCTACTAGTAGCCACCGGGCCACTGTCCCTCAGAGCCTCTACCCATGGTTTAGTCATCAACATCATCCACTCCCTGTGCACCTGTTCACAGCTCAGCTTCAGTGGTAAGCAGCAATCTTTGTCTGCTGATTTTTAAATATATACACAAACTAAAAAATAAGAAACTTGTGCCTTATGACAAAAAAATGTTTTGTTGTGTTAAATAATTACAGAGGAGACAAAGCAGGTTCTGAGGCTGAGCCTGACTGAGTTTTCGTTGCCAAAGTTCTATCTGCTGTTTGGCATCAGCAAAGTCAAATCAGCCGCCGTCATTGCCTTCCGCTCCAGCTACAGGGACCGCTCCTTCTCACCAGGCTCCTACGAGAGGGAGACCTTCGCTCTGTCCTCTCTGGAGACCGTAACTGAGGCCTTACTGGAAATTATGGAGGTCAGACAGATAACTATGCATCTGTTAAGCAGGATTCTGTCTCTTTGTCACAGTGCTTGATTCTCATAGAAAATGTTTTTGAATAAATATTCACCACCATATTTTTTTATTCTTGTTTTATCCTTTTTGTTTGCCACAGTAATAGTTTAGTTTACATATACTTTACAACTTTTCTTCAAGAGCACATAGCTACATGTATGCTTATTGTATTATTTCTCTCTTTTGACTCCAGGCCTGTATGAGAGACATCCCAACTTGTAAGTGGTTAGACCAGTGGACAGAGCTTGCTCAAAAGTATGTACCTCTTTAAGCTTTTTTTGTTTTGTTTTTTAATGTATATAGTTTTGCTCAAGCTTTGAGGTATCTAATCTTTGTGCTTGGGTTGTAGATTTGCATTCCAGTACAACCCCTCCCTACAGCCCAGAGCCCTGGTGGTCTTTGGCTGCATCAGCAAGAGGGTGACTCATGGCCAGATCAAGCAGATCATCCGAATCCTCAGCAAAGCCAGCCCTTTGCTCAGCATAGACCGGGTAAGATCAGTCACAGTCACACCTGATCCATCTTCATGGCGTACTGCAGTAACCCAAAAGTTATGATTATACTGCAGCAGGAGCCAATCCTTAAACTTTGACCTAATCATTAAATGACTCCACTTTCCTACCCACTTCAAACAATTTGCTAGATTTTAGAATCTAGATGTAGGCAACCTAGACCCATAGGCTACCTTGAAATGTGTTTTACTGGACTACTGCAAAGCTTCTCACTAGGATTCCTAGGAAGAGCCTGCAGAGGCTCCAGTACATCCAAAACTAGGATCCTGATGAGAAGGACCAAACATGACCATATCACTTCCATCCTCCTCTCTCTTGACCGGCTTCCCAGTTCCACCAGGATTGAATTCAAGGTTTCCCTCCTCCACACCGATGCCCCCAACTATCTCAAAGACATGCTGAACCTACAAAACACAACTTGCTCACTCTGCTCCAGTCCAGACGACACATGACAACACAATGTTCATTACACAGCACCTGATGAAAAACATCAGGAGACTTTTTTTTCACCAGGTGCTGTGTAATGATTGGACTGCAGAGCTGAAGTCAATAAGAAGGGACTTGTTTAGTTTCTCTTCTTTTCTAAGAGTGACAGAATGAAGTGGAATGTCACGGCGTCTTGCTTTGCTGTATGTACAGAGTCCAGGTAGTCCGGATAGACGGTGCTTGTTAAGGCTTTGCAAGTTGGCAGCAAATAGTCAGTGATGAAAGTCCAACCAGATAGTTTATAACAGATAAAGAGTAGCTGCACCCGGTGACAGTTTGTTCCTTCTGCACTCGGTTCTGCATGATCAGATTTAAAAACAGACAAGCTTATTTGTGGCTGGGTCTACTTGTATTGTTTTTGATTCATATCTTAATGTAGTTGGTAATGGAGATAGTAAATGATATGTTGTATTTGTTATTGCCAAACACTTTTACTCACGTCTCTCCTACATCCCTAAAGAGTCTGATTTTTGTGCTGCCCTGTGTGGTCAGTTCCCCGTCTCATGGGCATTCCCCCTCTTTTCTGTGGACTGTTTTAGGGTCTGGAGAGCTGTTTGAAGGGACCCGACAACTACAACAGCCAAGTGTTAATTGAGGCCACTGTGATTGCTCTGACCAAGCTGCAGCCTCTACTCAGCAAGGTATGAAATTTATCCATTCACCACTATATTCAGCCATTTCTGCTGCAAAATCAAATTTCCATTATTTTCATTTCATTGTGTCATTGTGTGTTGTCAAGATAAAAAATTGCCTTCATGATCTTGCATTGGTCGGATTTTGTCATAATTTAAAATGGAACTGTCAGAGTTGACACCTATTAAACACAGCAAATAACACAGGAAAGACAAGAGAGAGTTAGATTCTTAATACTCGCGAGGAGAACAGACAGAGATGTGCTTTCAGTTACAAATCTCCTGCTGCTCTGAAGCACATTTGCCTGCCCCTCTTTTTATTGTCTTTAGGATCCCTAATCACAGAGAGCGCTGTAACTCTAAAGGGAGGGGAATAACACTTCATCACACAGTCACAGCGCCAAGATTATCACTAACTAACAACACAATCTATCTCACACTAGCTTATCCAGTTCCTGACCCAGGATCAAACAGGACAAGTTGTGAATCTTCACGGCGATGGTTTTATAGCTATCTAAGAGGTCAAAGCAGGGCGTTCTGTGAAGAGCTGATGGCACTGCTCTTCTTCAGAGAGGCCCTCTGAGAAAGGAAATCAGTGATTAACAATACAGAAACATTTCTTAAAAGATATGACTAAACAAATAAGAGTACAGAACATATAAAACAGTATAACAAATAGTTGATAATAATACAATTTACCTAACAGAACTCTAAACTATATTCTTTCCATTTTAAAGAAAAACTTATGGTGCGTTCACACCAGACACGTCTGGTTTACATTCAAAGTCCACGGGCAGGTGGTCGAGTGCCCGTCGCAGCGCGTTTCGAGCAACTAGCACAGTGTGATTTGAAGTCGAGCACGTCCAACAGACTGGCAACAGAAAACAACGGCCATAGTGATTCTGACGCGCCTCCACATGGACTTTGAATAGAAACCATATGCGCCTGACGCTCAAAACGCATTTGGTGTGAACGCACCTTCAAGCGTCTGCATTCAAAGTGCACATGCATCAAAATTGAAGCGTCAGACGCATTTTTGACGTGTGTGACGCGTTTGGTGTGAACACACCAATAGAACATCCCAAAAACCCAACATACAGTCAAAATTTGCCATCCCATAAACTGGGAGATATATTCCCCTCTGTGGTGAGAGGTCACAGGATCCTTTTTACCTAGAGTATAAAAGCCAGATGTTCTATTTGACTGCAACATCTGTTCAGAGACGTTAGATTGACAGGTAAATCTCCTCACCAGATAGTAACACATCTATTAGTGACACAGCAGAAAATCTTCAGTTTTACTATGATCAGTTCGTGAGCCGACACTGAAACAGCTCTGCAGTCGAATGGTTTTCAGAATGATCAGCGCTAAATAAAATGTTTCTCTGTACATTTTGCTGCCCTCACTACCGTTAAGGTTGTGGGTGACTATATGCAGGTTAAAGATAAACCCTCATATCCTGTCATTGAGAACCAACCACCAAAGGAAAAACTTGCCCCATATTTTATTGCTCTGCTGCAACAATTACAAACTAAGAATTTTCTCCTAGTTTGGGAAGTTTGAATTAGGGATAATGATCCTCTTAGACATATTTTTAAGTCGTTGGTAATGAGGTGCCGTCATTGTTGCTGTTAAATGATTTGCTTCCTGTGTGAATGGATGTGTGTTTGCAGGACTCTCCGATGCACAAAGCTCTGTTCTGGGTGGCAGTAGCTGTGCTGCAGCTGGATGAAGTCAGCTTGTACTCTGCTGGAACTGCCCTTTTGGAGCAGAACCTTCACACTCTTGACACAATGCGGATCTTCAATGACAAGGTAGAGCAGGGGTGTCCAAAGTCGGTCCTAGACGGTCAGCATCCTGCATGTTTTAGTTCTCTCCCTGGTTTTACACACCTGCATCAAATGATGGCTCATTAGAAGGTCTAAGGAGAACACTGACTTACTGAGGAGGCTGTTACAACCACTATGGAGAGAACTAAAATATACAGGATGCCGGCCCTCGAGGACCGACTTTGGACACCCCTGAGGTAGAGCTTACAAGGGCTGAAAGAAGCGCCGTCATAATGTCTGTGTACTTTGATGCCTTGTGGTCAAAATTCATCATAAGAAAGAGAACATTGTCAGAGAACTTGACTGTTTTCTTTTAGGTCAAAGCATAGATGTATAGCATAGCATAGAACTGACTGTCTTAGAATAGCTGCTAGCTTGTTTTTAGCCAGCAGAGTTTCTTCTTCCTCTGCTGTGACTGTTTGATTACTGCAGTCATTAAAATGAAATGTTCACACACTTAATGCATTTTCATGTACTTATCAGAACTTTTCACATGAATCACTTTCATTAACTGAAATACTAAAATGCTATATTTTTACTACTTCTACACAGTTCATAGAAAAGTCCTGTTAATAAAGATGGCATGGTGATATGGAGCCTTTTAACCAAATCTGCTGTTTGCTTCTTCAGAGTCCAGAGGAAGTTTTCATGGAAATTAGGCGTCCTTTAGAATGGCACTGTAAGCAGATGGATCATTTTGTGGGTCTCAATTTTAGTGCCAACTTCAACTTTGCCTTAGTGGGCCACTTACTCAAAGGTAAGGCCGTTTCCTTTTTCACTCTCTTGACTAATCATTTATTGTTCATCAGTCACCGGAAAACACTGTTAATGTAGTTAAATCCTAAGTTAGGAGTAAATGCTTTGACTTTTGATCAATTCGTCCACAGTGTTTGTGAATAATTGTCGTTCATGAGCAAACAGGCATTTTCTTTGCTAGTGTCAGGTTATCTATAGTTCTCATGTTCTGCTTTTGTCTCTGCAGGCTACAGACACCCGTCTCCCACCACCGTGGCGAGGACAGTGCGGATCCTGCACACACTGTTGGCTCTAACAAGCAAACATTTGAAATGCGACAAGTTTGAGGTCAACACTCAGAGCGTGGCTTATTTAGCTGGTAAAAACCAACATGCAATACATCCTTCAGATGTTCACCTTCATTACTACATAATATTGTTTTTAAAACTGAGGACAAGCCCACACTAATGTGGCCCGAGCACAGAGGAAGTTTCACTAAGTTGTGCACTTCTATGAACTTGCAGCTCAAAGTGGTTATTGCTCGGTATGCATCAACAGTTTTCTATCATTTGCTGCTGTCTTGGTTCTGAAAGCCTTGTTGTTTCCTTATGAGGTTTGTTAGACTGTGAATAAACACAAATACGATGACCGCACCTCATCTTCAGCTTATTTTGGTCATACAGAGACAACTTTTTTTTACTACCTGTTCTTTTTCTGCAGCCTTGCTCACCGTGTCAGAGGAAGTCAGAAGTCGATGTAGCCTCAAACACAGGAAGTCGCTGCTTATTTCTGAGCTGTCTGTGGACCCTGTACCTATGGAGACCTACACCAGTCACATCACCAACCCCAAATGCAGGTGTGCTAACAAATGGGACTTTGTTCTATTCCCTCCCATGATCCACCGAACCAGAATAAATGAAATGCTGCATGTCTGCTCACAATGTTTTATTTTCAGAACTGTGCAAGAGCCTCAGCCCTGGACATCGCCTCAGGTTTCAGAGCGCTACCTTTCCACCCATCACTACCCCACGATGGGCCAGATTAGCCCGCGAACGCGCAAATCCATGAGCCTGGACATGGGCCAACCATCACAGGCCAACACAAAGAAGCTTCTTGGTATTTAATCTTTTCCACATAATAGTATCCATGTTATGTATAATATGATGTGTGTATGTATGCATGTGTCTACATACGGTGGTGTAAAAAAGCAGTTAACACTTTATTTGATGGGGTGTGTCTAAGACTGACATGACTCTGACATAAATGTTATGAACATGAAGGAGTCTTTATGAATATTTATGATTGTTGTCATGAAGTGTCATTCGGTAAACAATGACACCTTTATTGCAAAGTTGACAATTTGAATGAACTTTTAATGCAAGCTTTAATGCAAACTTGCATTAAAAGTGTCATTATTTACTGAATGACACTTCATAGCAACAGTCGTAAACATTCATGAAGACTTCTTCATGTTCATAACATTTATGTGTCATGTCAGTCACACCCCGTCAAATGAAGTTACCAAAAAGGTTTGCTTCCTTCCTCATTTCCTTTTTTTGCATGTTTGACACACTTCAATATTTCACAACATAAAACCAATTTAAATATTAGTCAACACAAGAAAACACAAAAGGCAATTTTTAAATGAAAGTGTTTTATTGAGGGAGAAAAAAATACAAGCCCACATGGTCCTGTGTGAAAAAGTAATCCCCCTATTAAAACAGTATTGTAGTGCATAGTTTAACACAGGGCCACATAGTTTTGGATTTTCTTTCCTCTCTTAATAAAAACACCTTCATTTAAAAACTTAATTTTGTGTTAATTTGTTGTATTGCTTTTAGAAATTGCGGAGTACTTATTGCTTTAGACCAACATTTAGTTTTATACTTTTAATATTGGAACAAGACCTGAAGAAACTGTTAGTTTACAAATCTAGAATAAACTTAAGATCTACTTAACAACCCAGAACAACTGGAACCAACATCTAGTTTTATCAGAACCAGAGAAACCTCTGTTAGTTTATAAAATATGGACGACTTATTCTTATTAAACATGCGGAAGCAATATGTAGTTTTATACTTTAACTAAAGTAATACCCTGTTTTTTGTATTTCCTTCTAATCCATCTAAAGCACTTTGTTGCTGAAAATATGCTACATGAATAAAATGATCTTACATGCAAAGTACATATATGTATATTTGTGTAGATGTATATTATATATAACTTATATCTAATTGAATCTATGTGGCTCTTCAGTTGGGTTGTCTAATGTATTCACTGTCTGTTCCAGGTACCAGGAAGAGCTTTGATCATCTCATATCAGACTCCAAAGCACCAAAAAGGCCAGAGATGGAGGCGGGGATGACCACCCCCCCGAAGATGAGGCGTGTAGCAGAAAATGACTATGAGATCGGTAACAAAACGGATAAACTGAACACAATTCCACATCGGCAGCTTAAGACGTCTGACAAAAAATACATTTACTTTCTATTGACTCACCCACTTGGGGCTTACACTTCAACCCATGAGGCCCAGCGATATTTGAAGCTGTTCTTAAAACAAACACTTGTGGGCATACTCTGACTTGACAGAAATGCAGTGATCTGTTCTGTCTTAGCAAAATTCATCCAGTATTATAAAAGAATGCGTCACTCTGCTTTCGATGTGGATTTGGCTTTTGTGTGTTTTCTAGTTTTTTTGTTTTCTAAACAAGCAGTTTGTAATTCTGATCTTTATTGTTACTGGTAAAGAGACACAAAGAATTGGAAATTCTCACCTGCGAAAGGTGTCTGTATCAGAGTCTAATGTTCTGCTGGATGAGGAGGTGCTGACTGACCCCAAAATCCAGGCTCTGCTGCTCACTGTGCTGGTGAGTTCTCAAGCTCAGTCCTTGTAGAGACGATGTGGTACCTCCAAACTGTGACTGTGCTTTTCAAGTTCTTCTTCTCTTCCTCAGGCAACCCAGGTTAAGTACACCACAGATGACTTTGACCAACGGATTTTGTACGAGTACTTAGCCGAAGCTAGTGTTGTGTTTCCTAAAGTTTTTCCAGTCGTGTAAGTTCTAAATACTGTGTTTCTCACTTGATCCGTTCATGCACTTAAAATGACCTTAGCCATGAACTTGACTTTTGACCGGAGATGCTTGTTTTTGAGTTCCATTTTCACGTTCCACGCTGTGCTAGCTCATTAAAGTTAGGCTTTCTCTCACCCTAATTTGTATACAGTAAAAAGAAAAACTGTTGTCTTTTTTTATGGTTTTGCTTTTTCTCTTTCTTTCTTTTTCTTCCTAAACTACTTTTCCAAAATAAGAGATACTGGTGCTGCCTCTATCTAGCCTCCTTACTGCTCCGCCTTAAAATAGCGCCCCCTAGCTACAACCACTAATTACGTAGACGGAGGAGAACGTTTCAGAGCAGGGGTGGGCAATCCTGGTCCTAGAGGGCCGGGGTCCTGCATTTCTCAGATGTCTCCCTGGTCCAACACACTTGAATCCAACAGCAGAATCTCCTCCTCAGTGCAGTCAGGTTCTCCAGTCCTGCTTACGACCTCATTATTTGACTCAGGTGTGTTGAAGTAAAGTTACAGGACATCGGCCCTCCAGGCCTGGAGTTTCCCACCCCTGTTAATAGACTGTGCGGCTAAAAACACTGAATAAGACCTGGAGGAGGTGACCAGTCCTGAGCATTAAACTGGCTACATGTTTAAGACTGAAGGCTCACAGGTGAGTCAGAACCTAGAACTACTGACAGCTCAGTGAACAGAGATCATTTAAATGGTAGAAGAGCAGATATTGGAATGGAAAACATGCTAACAGACCTGGAGATGCTAACTACTAAGAGAATTTTGGAAATGTATCTTTACATCTGCAGATCTTTAGATATTTTTATGAGAATATATCTACCAAGATAACATGGATAAATAATAATTATACATACAATTAGGCTCAAAAATATTCATACCTCTGGAAATGTAGTAAATCTCTCCACCGACCATCATCCAGGTCACAGCTGGGACTCTGGCTTTGTTGTCTCTGCTCCCGGTCGCCGTCATTCTTCCCCTCGCTGCCTCTGCTGTTTTATGGTGGTACTGCACTGAATTTCCACCTGATTTTGTTGTTTATTCTGGATCCCATCTAGTAATCATTTGGGCACTTTGGTTGTAAGCTTCCTCGCAGACCTGTGCCCTGCAGATCGCCGTGTTAGTTGACATTGTTAATGGTGAAATCTTGGCTTCCCAGCTGGATGACTCTCACCCAAGGCTAAAATAATTTTGTGTGTTTTTCCCCTCCCCATGTCCAGACCAACTGCAGCCTGAACAGCCATAAACAAGTTTTAACCACACCTGAACGAACAAAACCTCCTTGAGCTCAGCCGCTGGGCTCCGTTCTCCTCCAGTTACCTCACACAAGCTGCGTGTTTTTTCTAGGAGAGTTTTTTCATTGGTTCAACACTTTCAAACATTCACCAGCTTATTAGAGACCAAGAGCAACAACCAGATTTACAGTTTCACCTCAGAAAATATTTTTCTACCATTTTAAAGAACTTTCAGTATACACTTTAAACTACCAATGAACAAAGTGAAATGCCCCTTCCTGCCCTCTGTCTGACCTGTAGTTTGTGTCGAGTTTTTCTATGCGTTTGTAATGTTGTTCCTCTCATTCATAGTATCGTTTCACTGCTCTTTTCAAAAAGCTGACCTTTTCCACTATCCCAGTCTCATGTATTAACATCTACTCTAACACAAAGTTCTCAAGCATTAATTGTGACATTGCCACATTTCAGTAGTCAACTTTTGACTATAGGTAACATGTTTATATGTGCACTCCTCAGTTATAATTTATTGGACTCCAAGATCAACACTGTGCTGTCCATGTGCCAAGACATCAACCTCCTGAACCCCGTCCATGGCATTGTACAGAGCGTGGTGTACCACGAGGAATCCCCTCCTCAGTACCAGCCTTCATATTTACAAAGTATGACATTTTGTCTTCTTCGCACCTTTACAGATGGAACGTCTTCTACAGTCATGTGATCTGAAGTGGATATGTCTGCACTGTCAGCTCTTAAGTGTCACCTGACTCTCATTCATTTTTATTTAACAGGTTTTGGCTTTAATGGGCTGTGGAGATTTGCTGGACCTTTTTCTAAGGTATGGATGTTTCCTCTTCCTGTTATGTCTTTGTTTTGTTCTGGAGCATTCTTAGAGCTATGCAGTACTTGTGTGGCTAAGATGGTATAGCAGTAAAAGAAGGAAGTGCATGTACTGTCAAATTCACATGCAGTTAAAGCAGAAAACAAACATGCATCTTCTGCTTTGGAGAATTTAGTGAGTAGTAACTGCACAGTATTCAGCTACATTTCTATACTTTGACTTCATTTCTACACTCACACACACTCATAGTATCTGCTGAGGTCAGCAGATACTATGCCACCCCACAACCACCAACCTACTACATCAGACTACTGTGTTCTTGCCTGTGTTACAACTTTTGCCATTTTGGTGACTAGAATAATGTCTTTAATGAACTTTGAGAGTTAGACTTGATTATTGTAACCAAACGAAAGTTTCATAGAACATTAGGTCTGGTGATTGAACAACACAGCAACATTTGTATTCTTACAAAGTGTTGATAAATTGCATTATCTAAAAAAAATGAGATCATGTAATTTTAGGTTTGAAATGTTACAGAAACAATAACATTTTTGCTGGCTGCTCATTTACGGCCGAGTTAAATCCCATTCTGCTGTTTGGCTTTAAAAGTGGATCACATGCAGAAGAATATTTTTTCTCGCTGATGTTATATTGTTTATTGCATTTCTGATGAACAGGAAGTATATTTTTATGGCTTTCTGAATCAACACTGGGTCAATTGTCTGCAATGTAAGCATTTATCTTTTTTTCTGTCCCTGCAGCAAACACAGATCCCAGACTATGCTGAGCTGATTGTGAAGTTTTTGGAAGCGTTGATCGACAGCTACCTGCCCACAGCCGATGAAGAGAGAGGAGAGGAACAACTACGAACTCCCACATCCCCGTATCCTCCCAGCAGCCAAAGCCAGCTGAGCATCACTGCCAATCTGAACCTGTCAAACTCCATGACCTCACTGGCCACATCACAGCACTCCCCAGGTGTGACCCCCCCTCCACCCAAACACAAATACACACTCTCAGTCAGACCTGCTTCAGAGGTTAATATTTCTTTTGGTCTAGGCCGCCTTGACCTTTAAATGTTCTTTTTTAGTTGGATAAAAAAAAAATATACAACTGACTGGATTCACCAGTGAATGTTTTTGGATCTAAAATACAAATGGTAAACCATCACAGTAGTTATGAAGTCGACTGTAAAGGGGTAAAAGTTCCAGGGCTGCGCGGTGTGATGGCATACCTAACACAGATCGCCTCCACAACCTGCCAAAGCAGAGATGATGGGATTATCTACACAGCAGATGATTTGGTCCTATTCCTTCAGCTTCATGGATTAACTTTTATGTTGAAAGGCTGCTGTGATTGAGGTTCTTGCTTACTCATGAATTTAACTTTGCCATAAAATTTAACTTGTAAGTTGTAAAAATAAATTATTAAAACTATTTGCATGACTATAAGGGTCAAGTGAAAGTACAGTGGGAATAATTCATCAGCAGAACTAGAACTGACTACATTTAGCTGCAGTTTAGACTCCAAAACAGCAGGAGGACATTTTAAGAAGTTTTTTCCTCACTATGTGCAGAAGGTCAAGTTAGCTGCCTGCCAGGCTAAATTAACCCTCAACATTTACAGTATGAAAGGATCTTATGATGGAATTGTCGTAGGTCAATTTAACCTCTGATGTTTTATATGTAGGTCATCAAGCTTGCACTGCGGGAGTCATACGCTTTGTTTTCGGTAGATTGCATCTGTCCTTTCTTTGTTCCTCCAGGTGTGGATAAGGAGAATGTCCAGCTGTCCCCCAGCTCTGCTCTGTCCAGTGGAGGACGCATTCGCCACGGGTCAGCCAGTCAGGTCCAGAAGCAGCGCAGCGCCGGCAGCTTTAAGAGACCCAGCATTAAGAAAATAGTCTGACCGCCCCTCCAGGCCGAGCCGCCAGCCTTCACGCTGCGCTCTCTGTTTACACTCTAGTTTCTCCTTGTTCTTCATTCTCGCTGCATTGGCAAAACAAGTGAAAGAAGGAGGGCAAACTGAATGCAGGCGTTTCTCTTCTTATTCTTTGACGGCAAAAGGTTTGGGAGATGCTTCTGATCTGCACTGTGTTCTGTGTGGAAGCTTTTCCTACCTGCAGGAAGTGACGACAGGGACACTTCAGCATTACGTTGACTCTGACACAGAGGGACATGTGGTTGAAGTTCCTGGGTCTGAGTCAGTCAGATACACAACATGAGAGCAGCGCAGTGTGATGGGACCAACATACTCGATCCGCTTGGACATATCAGTTGCTCTCTCTATCCTGTACATATTTGACATAGACTGATGATGTACATCCAGTCCTTTATGCTAAATTTGCTGTTTTCTCTATGGTGTGCCTTTGTATGTGTTTTTCTATATGTACACTTTGTAAAGTAAAAGTCAAACCTTGCTGGACACAATAAACAGGTACTAATTATGAAGACAGGCTACTCATATCAAGCTGCCATGATCTGCCTGTGGTGATGGTCAAACAACAGTTAACCCCGATGCCTGTCACTATTTACTCCTGTAGAAGTAGATGATGCTACACAAATCTTCCTGTTCGCAAAACTCTTTCCAAAAATATCTTCTTTTTTTTTAACACTTATCCATTAATATTACAAAACACTATGAACAATACAACCATGTAAATACCTGCAAATATTTTTGGTTTCATTGCTTTTCTGTTTTTCCAATGATATATTTTTAGCAGCAAAAACGTGTTATTCAAGATTTGTGTAAAGGGCAATAATCTGTAGCTCTCCAAATGCTTTTCCCCTCCGATTAGCAACAGAGCAAACGACTCGCCGGGGAACATCGGGTGTCGCATCGCACACCGCTACAGCCGACCCACGGAGGGAGTCGTTTTGGTTTTCACCTAAACTTTTTTCGGTCTTTGCTTTTGTTTTCTTGCCATTGACGGGCAATATTATCTATTGTTTATAGATGGTAAACAATAGTAATATTGTTTATTTTCTATCTCCATGTTGGTTCTGTTCTTTTTGTTTTTCAGCATTGTGTTTGTTTTTGACTTGTGTATAAAACGCACAGAGATGACCGAAACAAAAAAAAACCTCACAAATTCATGATCATGGAGACTGGCCAGGCAAACACAGCAAAGCACACATGTTCTATGAGAAGACATTCTCCGTACTTGTGCTCCTTCGTTTCCATCGCCACTTCCCCCTCATACTCCACTGTCTCCAGGAATATGACGACTAGCTCTGCTTTTTCTGTAAAGCTGTGTGGCGTTAGGTTTGCAGCAGGATAATACTGAGAGTGTGACATGCCACTGCAGATTGTTCAGGGTTCTCAAATGTTTGGAACCCAGGTTTTGCAGTTTAGTTCAGTTCTTATGTTTTAGAGAGCATCTGGTAGCTGCTGTCCTCCATCATGGTAAAAAGATTTCCCTGCCTGAGTTAAGGCAGGCAGTTGAGATTAAAGAAATGCACATGATGGCATGGTGTTCATTCAGGCTGAGTTTGGGTTGGGAAAATGGAAGTAGTATTCTAAAACTGCTCTCTGTCAGCATGAAGATGGGCAGGGAGCTCCTTTAGAGACGAGGTGAACAGGTTTCCCTGTGAGGTGTGTGATTCAGTCTGCCATAACGCGCGTTCAGAGACTGAAGTGTAATTAGTGACCTGTGGTTTAAGAAAGTTCCCACTATTTTCATTTATACATTTACACAGATTTTGGCTACTTCTACATGGAACATATGCATCTGGTTTAGTCTGAGTTGTCAGTGATTAGTGCATGTGAGTTTAGGACCCACAGATGATGTTAAATTATGAACATCACTGTGTGTTTGATGTCAGAATTACAGAAACAGTCACTCAGTGTTCCTGTGTGAACACTGAGTGACTTAGTTTGTGAATGTTTGGTTGTTTAAAACCCCTTAACTTTCACCCCCAAACACGTTCATGTAAGTCATTGGGTCCGTGAAGACAGCAGTGTCTTTATGACCATTAACAACTCGAAGCTGCAGTATTTAACTTTCCAAATTTATTTTTTTTACATATTTGTTCAGACTGTCACCATGTTGTGAGATATAATCTGTGAAAAGATCAGTCTCCTCCACCTCCTCCCAGTAACTGCTATTGCCATCTGCAGAAATCCACCGCTCCCAGTCAAAAACAACCAATCAGGAAGGTCTCAGCGCCATCAGTCAGCCTTGTGATACACGCTGCTAAACGTGTACACAAGTGGATAGACAACTTACTGTTCCATTAAAGCTGTTTATCCACTGTCACCGGTGGCTATGCTAATTAGCCTGAGCATTCCTGGCAGGCTGTGTCACGGTGAAACGGCTGTAACACAGCAGAGAGCAAAGGAAGCGCTAACACCCTTGACCGGGCTCTGATTGTTGACTGCCCAGTTTTCACTCTAACACACTTGAAATGCCACGCCCGGATTTCTTCCTGAAACGTGCAACATGTTCACCTTTGACCTAAAAGAATCTGAGGGCAGCTCTCTGAGACTGACTGCGGAACAGAATATGTATCCTGAACTTATGAAACAAACAGATGACTTGCACTAAGTTTAAATGGGTCATGGCTTTGTAAAGATGATGAAAAAAAAATCCAATTGTGGCATGTTCTTTTAATGTTATGCAAAATCTGTCTTGAGTATGTTCTGAGTAGTCTGAGTTTTGTTTTTAATCCAGTATGTGTGATAATTGTAAAGATTTTGTGTACAATTTGAGATGATATATTTACTACACTGTACATACCTGTGATATTGTATCATTTTGTTTTTGTAAAGCAGGTACTTTCTGTATCATAACACATATTACAGTGTTAGTAATAAAAGGTTCTGCTAGTGCCTGACATTGTCTTCTTTAAACTTCAATACGTCTGATTTATTAATAGAAGAGTTTGTGTTCTCCAGCTACTTTGTGCCATTCATCACAACATGGCTCCTCTGTTAACTCTTTATGTTTTTACCAGCGTTGCACTGAGAAGCAGCTTGTTTAATGAGCTCAGCTGGTGTGCAGTTGCACCAGGTGTTTGCTAATTGCTGCTGGCTAGTCTGAAGGAAATGCTCTGTAAGGTGGAAGCTTGGAAACTGCAGCTCAGAGGAGGAGCTTTGTCAGCGAGGCAACGCTCAGTCCACTCAGTTGATTTGCACAGCTGAATGGTTGCCAAAGGAGATTAAAGGATTTCTCAAACATGCATGAAAGGATCACAGTAACACTCTGCATATGTTTTTGATGACAGAATAACATTATAGCATGATTTAAAGCTCAAAACTGTCAATTGTACATAATACTGCCCCTTTAACATATTTGCAATGCCCACCTGATGATCCTTTGGAGCCATTAGAACCAGAGACACAACACTGTGTGTGTAACACACAAACTATTCCATCTGTTATTTCAACAGTAAGCTTTTTTTTTCTTTCTCAGGTATTCATACTTTAGTTACAAACGTCACACATATTGGGCACATTAAAGCAGTTTTTTTCTTTATTTGCAGTCTCTTCAGCTCACTGAGATAATTTTTTCTTTTAAATATGACATCACTGTAACTGTGGCCGGTTCAGAAAGACTTAACTCACAAACTTAAGATCCACCAGTTTCCTGTGAGCCGTATCACCACCCAGGCTAACTTTTGTTACCCAGAGCTAGAGGGTCTGTGGGGTCTCGCCGTTTGGAGAGACCGTCCCCCTCGCGGCAGCTCCGCGCATAGCACCGTGTACAACCATAAAACCTTCAATTTTGAACATACAAGTACATTAATACAAACAGGAAAAACACATTTACAGAAATTTACAATAAGCTGAGCCGTGAGTGGTCTCACAGTGTGTTTCCATGTTATTATTACAAATGCATATATTGTTTATGTGATGCACAGTGTTATAAAATTGAATTTGTTTAGTAATTTATTTAAATTAATATATATATATATACACTGCTCAAAAAAATGAAGGGAACACTCAAATAACACATCCTAGATCTGAATGAATGAAATATTCTCCTTTAATAATTTAATACTTTGTTCTGTACAAAGTTGAATGTGCTGACAACAAAATCACACAAAAATCATCAATGGAAATCAAATTTATTAACCAATGGATGCCTCGATTTGGAGCCACACACAAAATTAAAGTGAAATGTTCCCTTTATTTTTTTGAGCAGTATATATATATATATATATATATATATATATATATATATATATATATATATATATATATATATATATATATTATTTGAAAATATTTGCAGGTATTTAATTAATTAGGTCTTAACATGGGCTGGGTTCATTGGAGCAGAATCCATTTTAAAGATGGTCCTATGCTGCTATCGAGTGGGAAAACATAGTAAATACGTTTCTGAAGTGAAAACTGTTCATAATTATTTTTGGGTTTTGAGTAAATCTGACTAAGAAAGTATCACCATCTCCCTCACCAGGGGCGCCTGTGGGATATTAGTGGAGGGAGGCGCATTACTATCACTGTCCGCAATAACAGTCACGTCTCCAACGCGCATTGTGTGCGGCCACAAAACCAGCACAAACAAACCGTGGATCTGATGCACTTTTTTTCATTTTTCTTTTTTTTTTTTTTTAACAAATTATACTGAACAACTTAGACAGGACAGCGAAGCCTGCTTCAAATTCAAGTATTTTTTAATTTGAAGCATTTATCTTTTTACACCTACATTATTCTACCTCAAATATGATGATTTCATTTAAAACACACTTATCAGGTACAGGTACTGTCATAATGGCAGCATACTGTATGGTTTTAACAAATATACAGTAGGAGCTTCCAGGTTCAGGTGGTGTGTCTGAGAGGATGATGCAACAATATTTGCTTAATTTTTTCTCTTTTGAGCCAACATTTTTGAAAAGAAAACTGGTTTGTGCGACCCCACGTGCGCACAGGGTAATAAGCTCATGCGAGGTCCACTGAACCCCACTCAGGACTGTGACAGGGTTAACAGGCCACTCATTCAGTTTTAGCTAGCTTTGCAGCTTAGCAACATTTAGCTTACAGAAAGGGCGCCAAGCTGCTAAATAAACAAAAGTAAACTGACCAATAACATTTAAGTTCAGGGTGTGTGTGCCCAGCCCCACAGACTCACACAGATGAGTTACAGGATGTTTTCACAGAAGGGACACATTTTTATTTTTGTCTCACAATTTTGTTTTTAGTAAAAGTGATAATAATATAAACTCAAATGACTACATTATATTTATTCAGCGTCTTACGTCGTTGGCTGAAGAGGAAGATGCCCTGCTGATGTGGAAGGACAAATGCAAACACTAGATGGCAGCAGAGAGCTGATTTTTCACATAAAATTGAAGTAGTCTGACAAAAAAGGTGCAACTAAAGAGTGAAGGTTCAAATGTAAACTTTATTACTAACATTTGTCCATGGAGGTCGGCAGGCCTCACAATGTTACATTTGAGTCCAGAAGTTGTTCTAACATGCCCTGAAAATGTGTGTTTACAGCCAAATTGACTGAAGTCTTGTGGTTGATTTTTTTTCAGTGTGTTTGCATCATTAGGTCTCAGGGCTTTGGTTCTCCTGTCTCTTTCACCATTCAGCTCCACAGTATCAAGCGTAGGCTTTACATTATGGACGATGTGCTTCTTGGCAGATAGTGAAAGGCCGCAGGCATAGCTGCCTCGCGGCGCTGCAGAGTGAGCCGTATTTATAAAGCACAATTCCCATTCAGACAGTAATCTAAAACAGTCGAGCATCAACCATTTAAACAAAGCAGGGATTTGGTCTTTTTCCATCAATTGGAAGGAAGAAAAGGGGGATGGGGCAGAGAAGAGGAGGGAAATAATCTCTAATCTCTGCCATAGCTCTTTGACTGCAAAACTATATTCACTGAACTTCTGGTGCCATAAAGCAAATCCATTTATCTGTCACGCTGCTGGTGGGGGAATGTTGTGCTCAAGGATGCTGCCTGTAGTTTATCTGCTGAAATCAGAGAAAAGACTAATATGAAAAGGTTTAATCACATTTTCTGTTGTCGGGAACCACATGGTGTGAAACTACAGGAGTTTCGTCTGCCAGTTTCAGTGCAACAACATAAAGGAGCCTGAAGCAGAGGTTTTAGCAGCTCACATGGACAGCACACTTCCCCCAGGCAATTCTCCTAGCCTGTAATTGCATTTCCAACCATCCTAAGAGTATTTCAAGCCATGTCTGCAGGATTTTCACCCATCCTGTTTTGCCCAAGGCTTCTTCAGGGAACGCTGTGGGTCTCCCATGCTCTTGGATGAATTTCATGAGGTAATGAAGAGTGGAGTGCTAGCTCTGTTCTGTCATATTATCCTGGTACAGAAGGTGTTTGTTCTGATAACCTCTGAGTTTCATCCATCCATCTCTAACGCTGAAGAATCTGAATCAAAATCAGTTATTGACAACATTTATGACATTTAATTTCCCTTATGGATCAATAAAAGTGTTTTTGAATTTGAAGCATTTATCTTTTTACACCTATATCATTCTACCTCAGATGTGATGATTTCATTTAAAACACTTATCAGGTACAGGTACTGTCAAAATGGCAGCATACTGTATGGTTTTAACAAATGTACATTATGAAGCTTAAGGTGAAAGGAGGAGAACCAGGCAGACAAACACGCAGAGACAGAAGCAAACCAATCCATCAAATGAAATATGAAAACTACTAATCAGTTATTAGATAAATCATGCAGTGAAGCTGATTTTCCTGTCAAAACTGAATCCCCCCCAAAAATAATTTTCCATCAGTGATTTTTATTCCCAGGTGGCCAATATCATTTACAGCAAAAATATGTATGCATACAGCCTATAAGGTAAACTATAACTAATCTAACTATAAAACTAAAAGACAAATTGGCTGTCTAATTTCTCATCTGGGTAAAGCAGTGTGCAAGTAATATGGCTCCCTAACAATAACATTTTAGACTGCTAGATAGCTAGAAATATAAAGTAATGCTAACCATCTGCTTAAGGCCCTGTACAACATAGGACCGGCCCTGCATAACAAGTTA